ATCCTGTTCCGCGCCGTGTTCATCCAGGGCGATGCCATCGGGTACTTCACCGATTTCTTCCGGCCGGTGCTTCACCAGAAGTACAAGCGGTCCCGCGACCAGCAATACGATGCAGCCGGAAAAAATCGCCATATTTCGCCAGCCCCAGGCTTCCAGACCCAGAATAATCAGCGGCACACACAGGCCACCTACGGAAAATCCGATCTGCGACCAGGCGACTGCTTTGGAACGATGCCGGTCAAACCAGTTCACCAGTGATACCATCAGCGTGGCAAAGCCGCCCAGGCTTGAACCCAGCGCGATCAGAATAAAGGCGACAAAGTAGGTGGTGACGGAGTTCACCTGGCTGAAGACAAAAAAGCCTATGCCAAATATCAGCGTGCCGATGAGCAGAATAGGGCGGGGCCCGAAACGGTCAACCAGCCAGCCCTGTAGTGGGCCCAGCAAACCACTCTCCAGGCGTGTTAATGCAAACGCCAGAGAAAGGATGGACATGCTCCAGCCAAATTCGTCGCGCAACATAACCGCATAAGCGCCGTAAGAGTGCATCCAGGTCATGGCGGCCAGCCATTGGATGCCCGCGCAGGCGGCAACAATCCACCAGCCGTAGAAGACCTTGCCGCGGGGTCGGAATAAAGCGTCCATCCGCAGCGTGAATTTGCGTATCAAGCCAAGCATGGCTGCATCATACGGCAATGGCTCGTCCGGCTGCTATTTTTGTGGTTTGGAAAACAGGCAGGGTCGCCTGAAAGGCGTTAACATAAAGAGTATGTCAACAAGCTCGCCCCCACAGTCGGATAAACATGCCCTGGTGCTCAGCGGGGGCGGTGCCCGTGCAGCATATCAGGTGGGTGCACTGCGCTATATCGCCAAGGCATTACCTGACTATCGCCCACAGATTCTGACCGGTATATCTGCTGGCGCGATTAACGCTGCGCACCTGGCCGCCCATCAGGGCAGCTGGGCAGAAGCTGTTTCACAGCTGAGCAATATCTGGCTCAGTCTGGATACGGAAAAAGTCTATGCCACAGGTTTTGGCAATATGGCCAGGCGGGTCATGGTCTGGGGGCTGCGTTTGCTGAGCGGCGGCCGGCTCGGCAACGCCGATGTGCGGGGTATGGTGGATAACAGTCCGCTGCGAGACTTCCTTCGCCACAACCTGCCCATGCTCGAAGATGAAAGAATTGCCGGCATTCAGGAGAACATTGCGCGTGGCGTGCTTGAATCCCTGGCCATTATCACCACCAACTATGGCTCTGGCCGATCGGTTGCCTGGGTAGAGGGTAACAACCCGCTGCTGTGGGAGCGCGGACAGCTGCGCGCCAATGATACTCAGATGACCCTTGATCACATTATGGCTTCCTCAGCGCTACCGATGTTTTTTCCGGCGGTACGGTTGGAGTCTGCCTGGCACGGAGATGGCGGTGTACGTTTGACCGCGCCTTTATCCCCAGCTTTACATCTTGGGGCGACCCGAATTCTGGCGGTATCGCCGCGCGCCAAACCCGTGAACGCGATTCCACCGGAAATGCGCGATCCGTATCCGTCACCGGCGCAGATCGCCAGTGTTCTGCTGAACGCGGTTTTTCTGGATATGTTGGATTATGACGCGCTGCAGATGAATCGTATTAATCGTCTGGTCTCTCAGCTGCCGCCGGGGCACAGCTCTGAGCTCCGCCAGGTTGAGGTCATGGTGCTGCGACCCCGGGAAGATCTTGGCAAGCTAGCGCAGCAGCATGAAATCACCATGCCATCATCCTTTCGTTTCTTTGAACGTGGTCTGCACAACAAAGAATCGCGCTCTTCAGATGCCCTCAGTATGGTGATGTTTGAGCCGGAATATCTTGCGCTGCTGATCCGGCTTGGTGAAGAAGATGCTGCAGAGCGCCGTGATGAAATTGAAGCTTTTCTGCGCGGTGGTGCCTGTTCGTTGCCGGTCTGGTAGCGACTAGCGGTCTTCGGCGGTAACCTGGCCGAAGCAGTTGGCGTAGTAGGTCACCGTGCCTGGCCAATCTGAAAAGATACCTTTGATACCAACTTTTTCTGCAAGAGCGTGTAACACTTCCAAAGACTGGCCCTCACGCTTTATATAGCCTGGGATATTGCCGTATAACCAGTTGTCCGGGCTGTTGGCCTGGCCTGATTCAAACGTCCAGGTGATGATTTCCAGACCAGCCTGCTGCGCAAATTCAGCGTAAGGTGACGGGGCTAATTCATCGTTATCATCGACAATCAGCAGCATTGGCATGGGTGGTGCAATAATGTTGACGCCGGCCGCTTTAAGACGCTGCATATCTTCGAGGCTGGCTATAAAGTCGGGGTCCCGTCCGCGTGGGTCGAGGAACACTGCCTGCTGTCCGAAGTTCGGGTGTTTTGTTATCCAGTACAACACATCGTTCACGTTGAATGACTGGGGGTAGACGCGTTCAGGTGCAATATCTGCAACCTGATAGGCTTCTATCAGGCGGCTGGCGTATTTTTGTTGTGACATGCCGGCATACGGCATGGTCACCATCGGCGCTTTCAATTCGGGTGTGAAGGCTACACCTAACGCATCAAATAAATCGATGCTTTCGTCGTGTGTCATTAGCGTACCGCAGCTCACAGGGTTTTCGACAAGTTCGCTGCCGGGGTCAGCCAGGTACTGTGCAACAGTGGTTGCACTGTCATTAACAATATCACGCCGTCCACATAAATCCCGATATTGCGCCAGCGTAATGTCGCTGGTGCAGCATCTGGCGTTTGCTGGTGTAGGATTGCCTGCCGTATCTGTTGCTGCCGCTGTAAACCCCTCACTGCAGTTGTCTGCGTGTTTGGTCTGCAGGATATTGGTGGTGCTATGCAGATCACACTGGGAATGGCGACACACCAGAGCCAGGTCTTTAGTGAAGGTAACATCGCACTCAATCACACCTGCACCCATCGCTGCGGCGGCCTCATAGCCTTCCCGGGTATGTTCGGGATAACCCAGGGGGGCGCCTCTGTGTGCAATGGAGAACTCAGTTTTATAAAAAGGCATGTCGGCGCAGCTTTGCAACTGGCGCTTGAGAGGCCCGAAGGGCAGGTCTGCACTGAGTTGTAACGCACGATCTGTGGGATCAATCTGATTGTCCTGGACAGTGGTAGTACAGCCACTTAAAGCCATGAGGATAATTGACAGAGCACGCGTACAATGTGCGTTCATAGCTACGAGCCATTTTGAGTTTTGAGTAACGTCCTAGTATTGCAGAGTTTCAGGGAAGATGGTGTGTCTGGTTGGGTAGAGGTCTGTCAACAATCTGTAATGACCTGGTGCGACCTGCATGGTTACAGCTATCGCTTCGATGGGGATCAGTTCTTTGACAGGCTGCCGCCCTGGTATTGGCAGAAAGTAGGGCATCGTAAACCTATTGCAGCTGATCTGGCTCGTTTGTTATGGGTGTCGGAAGAATTGGCCAGCGGTGCCTATGATGTGGTGGCCTGGGTTGATATCGATGTATTTGTGAGCGTTCCGCAACAGCTGCAGATAGCACCGCAATCAAGTTGCGTGTTTGGATACGAACACTGGCTGCAGCCGAAAGCCAAAGGCTTCACGGTGCGTAAAAATGTTCATAACGCGTACTGCGCTTTTAAACCCGGCTGCCCGATCCTGGCCTTCTTGATAGAAGCCATTTTGCGCATGGTGCAGCGGGTTGATGTTGATTTTCTGGCCCCGCAGTTTGTTGGCCCCAAACTGCTCACCAGCCTGCACAATATGATGGGCTTCGAGCTTGAGCCTGCTGTTGGTGCAATCTCGCCCGCGCTGCGGGAGGCGCTTCTGCATGATGATGTCCGCCTCATCCAACAAGGCATGCCACAGCCTCTGCTGGCGGCAAACCTGTGTGCGTCTCTGTCGGCACCTGCGACGCAGATGACTCAGCTGATGGAATCTTTAGCGCAGCTGGCTAGAAGTGGGCAGAAATAGACAGCGAACCGAACAGGTCGTTTTCTTCCTGATTTTTGTATTCGCGGCTGCGGTAAATGTACGAATAAGCCACCCGGAACTTGCTGTTGTTCCATACCAGCCCCGCCTGCAGATCTCCCACCCAGTAACGCCGATCAACGCTGTGGCTGCGGCGGAAATTGTTGCCGTCCAGGAACAGATTGTGGGCGATGAAGCGACCGTCGATGCCGGCAAAAAAGTACCAGCTCGGCCCGCGGATACGGTCGTAATACTGTGATACCGGCAGGCTTGGACGCACCCTTGGTGGACCATAGTCGTGATCTAAGCCCTGCCCGAAGCGCACCATGCCGCCTGCACCCGCGTAGGTCAGAGGTGTACCGACTGATGCGCTGACATGGGGCAGCAGGTCTACCTGAAAATATTTGCCAAATGTGCCGCTGCGGGCAAGGCGCAGCCACTTTTTCTCGTAGGCGACTGAAAGTACATATTCGTTTTTCAGCTGATTATCCCATCCCATGGCTTCGTCACTGCCTATTTTCCGGTGCAGTGCATTCTGGATGACCTCCGCACGGGCACCTGGCCCGACCAGGCCGAAGCTGAGACGCCAGGTTTCAATTTCGTCCGGGTTTTCCGTGGTGAAGCCAGCTGCGAGGTAAACGTGTCCAGCGTAGGGTCTATCGTCTTCCAATAGTTCTGTCGCGAGAATATCTGTCGGCGTGTAGATCTCGTGGCCAGCAGACAGAGCAACATGCATTTTGTCTTCGGCTTCAATGCCGGGAAAACGAATACCCATTGCCTGCAGGCGTTTGGGTCCTTCGTTAATGTTGCTGACGTAGTTCAACATCACACCAGAGGTGTAGTGGCGATCTGTATCGACAAAAACGTCGTTCTCAATGAGTAGATTCAGTACCCCGTCTGAAGCCCAGGCAGGTTGGATCGGACTCAGAAAACAGAGAGCCAATGTCAGCAGGAACAGAAATCTGGGGTGAATCACAAAACTTGTCGGTGTTGGAGTAATACTCGGCGGCGCCTACAATACCCCTTCAATCCGATGCGTTCAAAATTCGAGGGGGGAAATATGCATACGTTTGCCGATCCACTGGCGCGAGCAGTACAGGTAGCCGCTGGCAAAACAGCTGTTATCGATCAGGATAAAACTTTTACCTACAGCGAGTTGCAGGATCGCTGCGGGCGCCTGGTCAAAGGTCTATATGCGCTGGGTTTACAAAAGGGGGATCGGGTGGCGATCTGGGCCAACAACTGCCACCAGTACATTGAAGCTTATGTGGGTGTGCCCGCCGGTGGCCTGGTCATTGTGCCTTTGAATACGCGCCATGCAGAACCAGAGCTGCGCTATGCGTTAGAAGATTCCGGCACCCGGGTACTGCTGACCGACAGGCCTGCTGAAGGTCTGCAGGACATCGTTGAACATGTCATCAGCCTCGATGACGCTTACGAAAATCTGCTTGCCGCTGAGCCTGCTGCTTTAGGGGTTGGCGTGCAGGAAAATGACCTGGCTGGATTGTTTTATACCGGAGGCACAACGGGCCAGTCGAAGGGGGTGATGTTGAGTCACCGCAATCTGATTTCAAACACGTTTCACTGGCTCTCCTCTGCGCCGCAAAGTGATCAGGATGTGATGTTGGTGATGGCGCCGCTTTTTCATGCGGCAGGCTCCAATGGGGTGTTGTCTTCCATCTGGACCGCCGGTGCTCAGCTGACCCTGGGTGCTTTTGCACCGGGAGAAGTGTTAGATCTGATTGAGCGTCACAAAGTGAGCATGACGCTGGGTGTGCCGACCATGCTTGCTGCCATGGCAGAAGAACAGCATGTGAACCCGCGTGATGTGTCGAGCTTGCGGTCTATCGGTCATGGCGGATCGCCTATTGCAACCGAAGTACTGCGTCGTACCTGTACGGCTTTTCCCGGGGCAGAATTGATTGAAGTTTATGGCGCTACAGAGTTGTCGCCGTTAACGACTACCTTGCGCAATGAACAAAATCTGTTGGGTGATGAGCGTGCGCGATCTTGTGGCCAATCTATTCCAGGTGTTGATGTCAGAATTCTGGACGAAACTGGCCATGCCTTGCCTAGTGGAGAGATTGGTGAAGTCGTGGTGCGTGGTCCCAATGTCATGAGGGGTTACTGGAATAAACCTGAACAGACCGCAGCAGTGCTGAAAGACGGCGCTTACTGGACCGGTGATCTTGGCTATATGGATGAAGCTGGATTTGTCTACCTGGTGGACCGCAGTAAAGACATGATTGTCACAGGTGGCGAAAATGTGTACTGCACGGAGGTTGAAGAAGTGCTCTATAAACATGAAGCGGTACTGGAAGCCGCGGTTTATGGCATCCCTGACGAAAAATGGGGCGAAGCAGTTTATGCAACGGTGGTGCCGCGCGCCGAGCACAGCAATATTGACCCCGAGGACCTGTTGGCGTTCTGTCGCGAATCCATTGCCGGTTACAAAGTGCCTAAAGGCATCAACATTCAGCATGACCCTTTGCCTAAATCAGGCCCGGGTAAGGTATTAAAACGCGAACTGCGCGCACCCTTCTGGGAAGGTGTAGAGCGGAGCGTAAATTAGCGCCCGAAGCTTTATACTGTGACATCTGCTACAAGATTCAATAAACCAAAGAGAGAGGAAATATCATGTCTAACACAGCCCTGGATAATGCCGTTGAGCTTATGCAAGCTCGGATTGGAAAGACTTCTGAACCCACAGACTGGTTCGAAATGACCCAGGATCGCATTAACAAATTTGCCGACGCCACCCTTGACCAGCAATGGATCCATGTTGACCCGGAGCGCGCAAAAAATGGTCCCTTCGGTGCGCCAATAGCCCACGGCCAGCTGACCATGTCAATTATGAGCTTCCTGCCCGGTGGTAGTGGTATTGGCTTGCCAGCGCTGGAAGGTATGAAAATGGGTATTAACTATGGTTGGAACAAGGTGCGTTTTATGTCGCCGGTTGCTGTTGGTAACAAAATCCGTACCGTTGGAAAGCTGTTAAGTGTTGAAGCGAAAGGACCGATGCTGGAAGCGATAAACGAGCTCACTGTCGAAATTGAAGGTCAGGACAAGCCTGCTTGTGTTGCGCAAAGCGTGCTGCGCATTGTTTTTTAGAACCAACTGTCTTATCTGTTTGCGGAGGGTGTCTTGGATTTAGGCGTATGTGTAGCGTCCCACATTGGTGACACGGATTATGTTGTACGGGCTGAAGAGCTGGGTTACACCCATGCGTGGCTCGCTGATTCTCAGATGTTGTGGTCAGATTGTTATGCAACGCTTGCGTTGGTTGCGCATAAAACATCACATATCCAGATCGGTACTGGCGTTGCAGTCAGTGGCACCCGGCCCGCACCGGTCAACGCAGCAGCCATCGCAACGATCAATGCGTTAGCGCCAGGCCGCACGTTTTTTGGTGTGGGTGCAGGTAATACCGCACGCCGAGTGATGGGGCTGCCGCCCCAGCGGATCAAAGAGTTTGAAGCCTATCTGCAGCAGTTGGTGCCTTTGTTGAAAGGTGAAGAAGCACTGTTGCCGGTAGGCAAAGAGCAGACGTCACCTATTCGACATATCATGCCGGACAAAGGCTTTGTCAATTTCGCGGATCCTATTGCCCTGTATGTATCCGGATTTGGGCCTAAGTCGCTGGCCCTGGCGGGAAAATACGGAGACGGTGCCGTGCTGGCGCTGGTGGGTGATCCCGGCGCCATGTCGAGTGTCTGGCACATGATGCAGGCTGGTGCGCGTGATGGTGGTCGCGAAATAGCACCCCAGGGTGATTTTTATACCACCGCGCTAACCACTATGGTTGTTCTGGATGAAGGCGAGGCGCTCGACTCACCCCGAGTGAAAAGTGAGTGTGGCGCGATGGCTATGGCAACTGTGCATTACGCTTATGACCAGTTCCGTAACTTTGGCCATCAACCACCCAATGCCCTTGCCGGTATCTGGGATGACTATACTAAACTGTTGGAGAGTTACCCCGCCGAGCGGCGACACCAGCGCATTCACGCTGGGCATAACTGCTGGGTGCTGGAGGAAGAAGAGCGTTTTCTCACGCCGGAAGTGCTGGCTGCATCCAGCATGATAGGTACGCGCAGCGCACTGATAGAACAGATACAACAATTGTCGGCAGTGGGTCTGGAACAGATTATGATCCTGCCCAACTTTGATACCCGCTACGATGTGTTGGAGCGCGTGGCGCAGGACATCATCCCGAATGTATGAACAAATATTGATCCAATCGAAACAACACCGTTCAAGCGTTTGGTATGCAAACCCTGTCTGTTGGGCTGTACAAGGGCGCTGATGTTCACCTATCTGAATCCTGAAATACGTCAACGTCTGATTGCCGAAGGTAAACTGGTACGTCTGGATGCCGATGGTCAACTCATCGACGTGCATACACCGGAAGCGCCAGGTGAACTGGCCATAAATCTGTTGGGACCGATTCCACTGCCCATCGCGCTGCCATCAACACAGGCGACGGTGCAATGGTACGCCGCGGTGCGCAGTACGGAACTCAGCCAGGTTGAGACGCTGGCGTCGGAGTTGCGCGCCAGAGGCGGACAGCAACTGTTTTCCCATCTGGTTTCACCGCTGGCGGTGAACAGTGTGCTGGTTGTGGGTAACCCCACGGAGAATCCACTGGTGCGGGTACACAGTAACTGCCTCACTGGAGATGTGTTTGGCTCTCAGCGCTGTGATTGTGGCCCACAACTTGATGCCGCTATTGCGCGCATGCATGCTGATGCGGCGGGTGGCTATCTGGTCTACATGGCCGGACATGAAGGTCGCGGAATAGGCCTGTGGGCAAAAGCTGCAACTTATCTGTTACAGGACGCTGGAGAGGACACCTACGAAGCCAACCGTTCGCTGGGCTTGCCTGATGATTCCCGCGACTTCACCGATGCGGCTGTACTGATCAAACACTTTGTTGGCGCAGAAGCATTTCGTCTGCTGACAAACAATCCCAAAAAGATTGAAGACCTGCAACATTTTGGCCTGCGGGATATCACTCAGGAAAAACATGTCACCGGTGTCAGTCAATGGAATAAGCGGTATCTGCACGCTAAACGGTCCTGGGGTCACAAGCTTGATGACGAGGACATATAGGGGTGTCAGCTAAGATTTTCAGTCTGTTGGTGCTCTTGTTAGCCGGCACTGGCTGTCAGCAGGTTGCAGATGAACCCAAAGAAAATAATTTGAGGATCAATCAGCTGCAATTTGTAGGCAGCCACAACAGCTATAAAAAGGCTATGTCGCCGGCGCATGCTGAGGCATTGCGTAGCACCAATCCTCAAGCCGCAGCAGCGCTTGAATATGAACACATTCCCCTTGCAGAACAGCTGGATCTTGGTCTGCGCAAGCTTGAACTGGATATTTTTGTGTTGCCCCAAAGCAGCGATTTTTCAGTGGGTCATGTTCAGGTGATAGATATGAACAGCCATTGTGAGACCCTCAGCCTGTGCCTGGCCCAGTTGCGCCAGTGGTCCGATGCGAATTCCTCTCACGTGCCAATCTGGATCAGCTTTAATGCCAAAGACTCAGTAATTAATGGCCTGCCAGAGCCTATGGCTTTCACAGCCGAGGCCTTAGCTGATCTGGATCAGCTGCTGGAAAAAGCGCTGGGTGATCGCCTCATCCGTCCGCGGGATATTGTGAATCTGCAGTGGCCTGAGCTGGAGCAGGCGCGCGGCAGGGTGATTCTGATTCTTGACGAACAAGGCGCCAAACGCGATATGTACCTGCAGGATTGGCAGAACAGACCAATGTTCACCAACGTCGCACAAGACCACCCGGCCGCAGCCATTATGATCATCAACGACCCGGTAGCTGAACAGGAGGAGATTATCCGACTGGTACAACAGGGGTTTATGGTGCGCACGCGTGCTGATGCGGATACTTTGGAAGCAAGGCGGGGAGACACCACGCGCCGTGATGCAGCTTTTGCCAGCGGTGCCCAGGCGATCAGTACAGACTATTATCTGCCCACTAATCCTTTTGCAACCGACTACAGCGTTCAACTACCGGACGGCATTCGCTGCAATCCGGTTTTAACCACGGGCCGCTGCAGAATCGCGGAATAGCTCAAACGCTCTGCAGGTGTGTTGCCAGGATCTGATTAAATATTTCCGGTTGTTCGAAGTAGGGTGAATGCCCGGCGTCCTGGATTTCAGTCAAAGTCCCTGCAGGAAAATGTGGTAGATAAGTTGCCAGCAAAGTCTCGGGGAACAATGGATCTTCCGCGCCTGCCACCAACAGAGTGGGGCATGTAACGGCTTTCAGCTGGTTCAATTGCACCACATCCTCTTTTGTCAGTAGCGTGGATAATTTGTCCCAGGAAAATTCTGTGTTGAAGTTATTGATGGATTCGTAGAGCTGCATCAGGGCGGGCTTGCCGCGTGTGACCGCAGACATGGAAGCCTGGATACCCCCTGTATCTCGGCCGCTGGCGCTGGTGAGCGCTTTCATAGCCGGGGTTGGGGTGGGATTAACAATACCCCCGGATGTACAACTCAAGGTCAGCGATAACACCCGATCCGGGGCATCCAGAGTTGTACGCAGCACCGTGAAGCCGCCCATGGACTGACCGACGAGGTGCGCCTTGTCAATTTTCAACACATCCATGATGGCGAGCAGGTCATCGCGGAACTGATGGACCGAGATAGGTCCGCTGCTTGGAGAGCGGGCAAAATAACGATGATCGAAGGCGACACATTGATATTCTGGTGCAAAGTGGGCAATTTGATTGAACCAGATGGCTGCATTGCCCCCCGCGCCGTGCGCAAAGATCAGGGCAGGACCGGTACCGACTGTCTCATAGTAGATCTGTGCGCCGGGTCTATCGAGTATTGGCATTGTGGCTCCTTTTTATCACTGATACCCAGAGGGGCAGAGCATGGACGATAACTTAATTCGCTACGAAGTGGTCAATCATGTCGCACGTATAACCATGAACCGCCCGCGCTTCCGCAATGCCCAGAGCAGAGCGCTGCTCGAAGCCATGGACGCCGCTTTTGCCAGCGCTCAGGCAGACCGGGATGTTCACGTAGTTGCATTGTTTGGTGCTGGTGATCATTTCAGCGCGGGACATGATTTAGGCTCGGCTGAGGAACTGGCCGATCGCGAGCAGGACCCGCTGCAGGAGGGGCTGCGCGGCCGGTATGACCATTCCCGGGAACATTTTGTCGATAAAACCATGCGCTGGCGTAATCTGTCCAAGCCGACTATTGCCGGTGTTCAGGGTTATGCCATATTTGCCGGTTGGATGGTAGCCAGTGCGATGGACATCATTTACGCAGCAGATAATGCTTTGCTGCTCGCTGCAAATTTTCAATATTTCTCTGTGCCCTGGGATGTTGCGCCGCGTAAAGCCAAAGAAATGCTCTACGAATCGCGATTCATTGATGCTGATGAGGCTGCAGAGCTGGGTCTGGTTAACCGTGTGGTTCCCCTGGCAGAACTGCAAGGAGCGGTGATTGAATATGCCGAACGTATTGCAGCAAACGATCCGTTTCAGTTGCGGATGATGAAGCTTGCTGTGAATCAGATGCAGGACGGGCAGGGATTTGCCGCCCACATCACCGCCGCGCATCATATGCACATGTTGTCCTCGGAGGGTGAGAAAGACCCGGATTACGCATTGCGCGTCCCACCAGGTCAGCAACGGCCTATGGTAGCTAAGGCCTTTGAAAACTACGAGCGGTATAAAACGCGCGGTGAGTGAAGTGAACGAGCAGTTCTGGCGCAGCCCACCCTGGCATGGCGGAGTACGCACCCGTCGCCTCGGCCTGAAACCTGTTGAATCCTCTGTGTGGCTGTCAACAACGCCAGGTGAGGTCGAGCGCAACAATAAGCTCGAGCAGCTCAGGTCGCGCTATAACGAGGTGGTACAGGTACCGGCGCAGACCCGGGAAATGGATGCCATGTTGCGGCAACTGCCCTGGCCGAATGTTGCGTCAACGACTTTCCCGCATCTTATCGCCAATCTGGCCATGACCATTGCGGATGATGTGTGTGTCATAGATGTAACCGATCAGCAACGCCTGGTGGCGGCTTGTTTATGCGCGCCGAGTTACTGGCGCCTGTTGGAAAAAATAGGTCAACCGTTATCCGAGGTGCATGCCCCGGTGCCAGGATTAAATCAGAGTATAGGCGCCAATATTCAGCGTTTTATCGAGCGCGCGCCACTGGGGCAGCCGTTTGCACGCAGTAACTGGTTTCTGCACGGTGATGCCCAGCTGTTTCATGATGAAGTGGAACCTTCTCTGCAAACCCCTGTTGAACAGTGGATTGTACGCAGTGAAAGACAGACGCTGTGTCGCTGCAGCGAACGCTACCTGCTGTTCACGATACGAATCACATGCGCGCCGCTTGCACACATCGCGGATTTTCCTTTAGCGCAGCGAGATTTACTGAAGTCGCTGCAGGCGCTGGATGAACATGAAATGGCACATTTTGGTGGGCTGGCCAAATGCAGGCGTTTAGCTGATTATGTTGAATCTTTTTCGCTTTAAGTTGAGCAGTATCCTGTTTTGAAGACCCTTGTTATATGCCTGTTGTTGTTTGCTTGTTTTTCACATGCGGACAAAACACTGCCGCTAAAGTCGGATCGCTTGGTTTCCATGACGTTGAACGAAGCCACGTGGATGTCGCTGGACATTTCCCCTGACGGAAAAACAGTGGTTCTCGAAGTGCTTGGAGATCTGTATCTGTTACCCGTCGAGGGCGGCACAGCTACACCGCTCGAGGTAGGTCTGCATTTCGACAGTCAGCCGCAATATTCACCTGACGGAAAGTCTCTGGTTTTCATCAGTGACCGTGATGGCTCTGAAGAAGTCTGGGTGCTCGATCTCGAGCAAGACTCAGCACGACAGTTGACCACCAGCAACGATCGACTGGAGTACGCCTCTCCCACCTGGTCACCGGACGGCAGGCATGTGCTGGTTTCCAGAAGCACTTTTGATGTTGGAACGTTTGAGTTGTGGGCTTTTCCTATCGACGGTGGATCAGGCGTGCAGATCACCAAAGCTAAACCCAAGTCGGATACGCCGCGGGCGCAAAGACACAATGCGCTCGGGGCGGTTTACGACCCAAGTGGTCGTTATCTGTATTACGCCCGCAAAACAGGGGGGTTTGGCTACAACATGGGTTTCCCACTGTGGCAGATAGCACGAAAAGATCTGCAGACCGGTGCGGAAGACATCATTACCGCTGCGCAGGGCAGTGCAATCCGCCCGATTCTGTCTCCCGACGGGCAACATCTGGTGTACGGTACGCGTCACGAACAGCAGACGGGCCTGCGTATACGTAACCTTGTCAGTGGTGCAGACAGCTGGCTGGCTTATCCTGTTGTTCGGGATGAACAGGAATCGAGGTTTACCCGGGACCTTCTGCCTGGCTACGCGTTTACGCCGGATGGTCTGGCTGTGCTCGCTCAGAGAGACGGCAAACTTTTACGAATTGATCTTCAGGACCGCTCTACCAGCACCATTGATTTTGAAATCAATGTTGAAAAGGAAATTGTCGAACGGTTGGCGTTCAGTTACCGAGCCGGCATGGGTCCGGTAAAAGCGCGCATTTTGTCTGACGCGGCTGTCGCACCGGATGGCAGCGCTGTGGCTTTTTCCGCCTTCGCGAGGATTTATGTGTATCGCTTCAGGAGCGGTAAGGTCGAAGCGGTCACGCCCCAGGGCCTGATTGCGGCCATGCCAGCCTGGTCGCCGGACAGTGCTTTTCTAGCCTACGTATCCTGGGCTGACGATGGTGGCCATATTTACCGCACCCGGCCTCGGGCAGGTGGTAAACAAAGACAACTCACACGCGATCCGGGCTTCTATTCCTCACCTGTCTGGTCCGCCGACGGTAAACGGATTGTTGCAATGCGCAGTTCGAGTCAGGAGCGTCAGGTCAGAGCCAGTCAGATCGGACCAGGCGCTGCCGCAGATATTGTTTGGCTGGACAGTAAAGGCGGTCCAACTCATCTGGTGACACCGGGCCGCGGTTACGATCGACCTCATTTTGGACCCGAGCCGGATCGGATTTATCTGCAGACCAGCCGACCTCCGTCGCCGGGTAAGTCTCGAGCCGGATTAGTCTCTCTGCGGTTTGATGGCACGGATCGTCGCGATGTTCTGGCAGTCAGTGGCCCGGGTGTCTTTAATCGAGGAGAAGATGTAGGCGCGGAGATGATGCAGATCTCACCTGACGGCGGGTATGTTCTGTTCAAACAAGCCGGCCAGGTTTACGTGGTGCAGTTGCTGGCTTATGTCCCGCTGCAGAAGATCTCGCTCAACAAACCCCAGTTACCCCTGGTGAAATTAACGGATGTGGGCGCTGATTTTATTGGTTGGGCTGATGCTGGCAACGCGGTGTATTGGAGTGTCGGTAATCGTCTGTATCAACGCAGTCTTGCATCCCTTGAATTCCGGCAGGAGACCCCTGAAGAAGACTCAGCAGGTGAACCCTCTGAGTCTGCTGAGGCAAATAACGAAGCCAATGTCCTGCTTGAAGAACATAGTGCAGTTGAGCAGACCGATATAGACGTGTATCTACCTCGCTATAAACCCGATGGCATGATTGCGCTGACGGATGCCACAGTTATCAGTTTGGGTCCCGCGGGCGTCATGGACGATGCGGTTGTGCTGATTGAGGGTGACCGAATTGTCAGCGTGGGTAACCGTGCGCAGATCGACGTGCCTGATGAAGCCAGCACTGTCAGTCTCAACGGTCGCTATATTCTGCCGGGATTTGTTAACACCCATGCTCATTTTCGCAGTGCCCGAGGCGTGCCCACCCGGTCTAATGCTTCATTTCTGGCGAGCCTGGCATATGGCGTGACGACAGCTATTGATGTTCAGCCTGCCACGGTTGATCTGTTAACCGATCAGGATCGTGTTGATGCAGGTCTGATGATGGGTCCGCGGGCCTTCACTACAGGCCCGGGTATTTTCAGTGATAACAACTTTTCTTCCAAATCCCATGCGCTTGCGGTGTTACAGCGATACAAAGATCTCTATCGGGTGAATAACATAAAAGCCTACGTGTCCGGTTCCCGCAAGCAGCGACAATGGTTGATTCAGGCAGCACGCGATTTAAAGCTGATGCCCACGACAGAAGGTTACCTCGACATGAAGGTTGATCTGACCCATGTCCTGGATGGTTTCAGTGGTTTGGAACACAACTTCCCACTGCCCACGTTATACGATGACGTGGTGAAGCTGACGGCAGCATCGCAGATTGCCTATACACCTGCATTGCTGGTCAACTACGGTGGACCCTCCGCGGAAAACTGGTTCTATACCCAACGCTCACCCCACGATGATGCCAAGTTGCGCCGTTTTACGCCTTACCGGGATCTCGCCGCGCGCACCTTGCGCCGCAGCTGGTTTCACGAACGTGAATACATCTTTGCCGAAGCCGCCCGATCATCGCGTAAGATTTATGAGGCAGGTGGGCAGGTAGGTATTGGCGGACACGGTCAGCTGCAGGGGCTGGGGTATCATTGGGAACTCTGGGCAATGGCCACTGGCGGTTACACTAATGTGCAGACGCTGCAGCTGGCTACCATTGGTGGTGCTCGTATGTTGGGTCTCGGGCAGGATCTGGGTTCCATTGAAGAGGGTAAGCTGGCAGACCTGTTGGTTCTGGATCAGGATCCACGAACCGACTTAAAACATACTACAGCGCTAAACTATGTCATGAAGGGAGGGGTGCTCTATGAGGCAGATACCCTCAACCAGGTCTGGCCAGAAGAAAAGGTCCTGCCGGAGCAATGGTGGTGGCAGTCCGGTCCGGAACAAATAATTCAAGGGCAACAAAATGACTGAGAAAAAATCGCTGCGAATTGCTCTGGCGGGCATATCTCACGAAACGAATACTTATTGTCAGGGACAGACGCCGAAAGAAGACTTTTATACCCTGCGAGGGCAGAAAATGCTGGCTTCGGCGGGGCAGGAGTCTGACGTCGGAGGCGCAGTGGACGCCTGCCTGCAACAGGGCGTAGAGCCGGTGCCGATATTATTTGCATCCACCCAGCCTTCGGGCACGGTGGCGCGCGCGGCTTACGAAGATTTCAAGGAAGAAATACTTGCCGGCCTGGCCGCGGCCGGCCCACTTGATGGCTGCGTGCTGTTGCTGCATGGCGCCGGCGTGGTTGATGGCATAGAGGACCTGGAGGGAGATCTGGCCCACGCGGTGCGTGGTGTGCTTGGTAATATTCCGATAACCGCTTCTTTTGATCTGCACGGTAATGCCACCCAGTTTATGGCAGACCAGCTGAACGGCATTTTTGCCTGTCGCGAGTATCCGCACATCGATTTACATCTTCGCGCCGCAGATGCTGTTGAAGCTATCCGAGAAATGCATGAACGTGGCGTTAATGCGGCATGTCACCTCGTAGCACTGCCTGTTTTAATGCCTACTACAACCACCTTTGAAGGTGCTGGGAAGGATACCCTGGCAGAGTTGCTTGAGCTGCAAAGCCGTACACCCTGTATAGATCTGAGCTGGTTCCACGGCTTTCCGTATACAGACGTAGCCCATGTTGGCAGTTCTGTTGTAGCGACCTGTTATCCGGAGCAGCTCGAACCGGCTAAAGCTGCATTAGCCGAATTTGCTCAACACCTCTGGGACAATCGGGAACTGTTCCGCGCGCGCTCACTAAGTGCAGAGGAAGCCCTGGAAGAAGCCAAGCAGGTGGGTAGTTACCCAGTGGTGATTCATGAAACTTCAGACAATTGTGGTGGCGGGACCCCTGGGGACGGTACCCATCTGTTGCGGGCGATGCTTGCTGACGGCTTAGGCAAAGAGGCCTGTTTCGCCTTTCTGGTGGATCCGCAAACCGCCGCGCAGGCCCACAAAGCCGGCGTTGGCGCCACCCTGCAGATCAAACTGGGTGGTAAAACCGACAAGCTGCATGGTGAACCTATAGAGGCCGCCGCGTACGTCAAAGCGCTACACGATGGTCGCCTGATCATGCAGCATATGTTCCGGGGTGCACCGATAAATCTTGGTCTAATGGCGCGTCTGGTGATCGATGATATGGATGTTGTGGTTGCGTCCAAGCGCAGTCAGACCTTCGATCGTGAACCCTTTCTAGCGGTGGGTATTGATGTACATAAATACAAGTACGTCGCGCTGAAAAGCAGTAACCACTTCCGCGCCGGATTCCAACATCTGGCAAGCCAGATCGTTACCGCAGACACACCTGGTTTAACCACACATCAGATTGAGATTTTTCCGCGTCAAAAAACTCAGCGTAGATTGTGGCCCATTGACCCTCAGGCGAGTTATCCATGAAAAAGAAAGTATGTTTGATTACAGGTGTCGGTCCGGGGACGGGTAGTGCTCTGGTAAAAACCTTCTGTCAGGATTATGAGGTGGCTATGCTGGCTCGCAGTGAACAGCGGCTGATAGATCTCAGTGCTGAACACGCCACAGCCCATGCCTTCCCTTGTGATGTGACAGATACAGCCGCTCTGCAGGCAACCCTTGCAGATGTTGTTAGGAAACTGGGCCCGCCGACAGTTGTTGTGCATAACGCTGTCGGTGGCGCGTTTGGTAGTTTCATGGATATTGATCCTGAAGTGCTTAATCAGAATTTCCAGGTCAACACCATGGCGCTTCTGCATCTTGCGCGGCTGGTGGCGCCAGCGATGGTGGCGGCGGGAGAGGGAGCCATTGTTGTGACGGGCAACACGTCCGCTTACAGGGGGCTTGCTAACTTTGCCGGCTTTGCCCCGAGCAAAGCGGCCCAGCGCGTTCTGGCTGAAGCCATAGCGCGTGACCTTGGCCCTAAGGGTGTGCATGTCAGTTATGTCGCCATTGATGCGGTGATTGATCTGCCGTGGACACGCAAGTTATATAAAGGCAAGCCTGATGAGTTTTTCTGTAAACCTATGGATATCGCTGCGGAGTGTTATCGCATGGCGCTGCAGCCGCGTTCAGCCTGGTCTTTTTCCTCCGTGATACGGCCATTTGGCGAAAACTGGTCGCTGAATCAATAAACTGGTTCGAGCCGTGAGAGAGCCACAATTTTGCTGTGAACCAGCTCACAGAGTCACTGAGTCTGTGCCGTTACCCTATTGATCGACAAAGGTATGTCCTACGTGGGTCTAAAGGATGGGGAATCGCAAATTATTAGGTGTGGTGTTCACCGTTGCCAGCATAGTGATGGCGATCAGCATTCTTGCGATCCTGTTATTGATCGCCACTGCCAGAACACCTGAACAACTGTCGCGGGTTGCCACCGATACTGCTTATCTGGAAGAGGCAGCAAATTCAATTGCCCGTGGCATTGAAGTGGGTATTGCCCAACATCAGGCTCTAGGGTCAGATGTGCAACGGCTTGATAACGCATTGCAGCAGGGCAGTGACTCGCTTGCTCGTGCCCTTAACCAAACGTATCAGCCGGTTGGCGTGCTCGCTCAGGCGCGCTGGTATGTAATTGACTGGCTGAATCTCATTGACGCCGGAGCCGGTCAGTTGAGCGCTGCAACTCTGGTGCTTGATCAAAGCGATCAGCTGCTGCAATCCGTACAACAGCTGCGAGACGAATTTGTAGCTTATGGCGCAAACCAACAGGAACTGTTAGCCGCTGAAGCCGCTTACGCGACGCTGGCCAATACGGCCGTTGGCGAGCTTCGAGAAAAAGGTGATCAGAATCGGGCGGATAGCGTCTATGTGAATACCGAACAGGTGAAAACCCTACTGGCCAATGGTCGAGTTGAAGACCTGAATGGCGTGCTCACATTGGTTGATCAGCTGGAAGAAGTAGAAGCCAGTCTGGCGACCGATCAGCGGGGTAACCTTCGTTCGCTGATAAATACTACCTACACAATGATTTCGCTACGCAGAGCGATGAATCAGGCCATTGACGCCATGCAGCAGGATCTTGTGCTGTCTCATCTGGAACAACTCAGCGATACAACCACCAACGATCAGCTCTATGTGCTAAATGCAGTCAACGATGCTCGGGTATTGCTCAATGTTTACACCGTGTTGATGCTTGCAGTTCTGGGCTTTTTTGGCCTACGCCTGGCAGCCAGTCACAGAGCGCTGAATCGATCCCATGACGATCTCGAAGTGAGGGTAGTCGAGCGTACCGCTGACCTGGCCCGTGCCAATGAGAATCTCCAGGAAAGTCAGGTGCAGCTGGTCCAGGCTGAGAAAATGTCGAGTCTTGGTCAGCTGGTGGCTGGAGTGATGCACGAAATTAATACACCCCTGCTGTATGTGCTGAACAACACGTCAGTCACTGCCGAAGCGGTGGAAGACCTGGCTAAATATGTTGAGGCAACCAAGCCAATTCTTGCAGCGCAGTCTTCAGAAGAAGGTAAGCAGGCAATCAAGGCGCTGTTGTCACGGCGTAATGAATTTGATCTGGATGAAATAGACGAAAACATGCAGGAGGTCGAATCTCTTGCCCAGGACAGCATTGATGGGCTGAACCAGATCAGTGACCTGGTGCAGAGTCTGAAAGATTTCTCCCGCCTTGATCGCGTTGCAGATGACACGTTTGATGTCCGCGAAGGCATAGAAAAGACGCTGACAATTACCCGCAACCTTCTTAAACAGGGTGTTGAGGTGCAGAAGAATTTCAGCGACGTTCCGGAAATTTATTGTTCACCGTCGCGTCTGAATCAGGTGTTTATCAATATCATCACCAATGCGGTGCAGGCTATGGATGGTCGCGGTGTGCTGAAGATCAGTACCTCGTACAACCAGACTACCAAGGGCGACAGTGTTGAGATTGTCTTTGAAGATACTGGTTGTGGTATTCCTCAGGAGCACCTGACCAAAATCATGGATCCATTTTTTACCACCAAGCCGGTTGGCGAAGGTACCGGTCTCGGATTGTCGATTGTGCGGCAGATTGTAGAGCAGCACGAAGGCCAGATATTTGTAGATTCCAAAGAAAATGTTGGGACTCGCATAGTGCTGAGTTTTCCGGTTAAAGGGCCTCAGCAGAAACCAGCAGACGCTGAGGAGGCAGCCTGATGAATAGCGTTTCCGCGCAAGCGGCCACCGGAACACCTCCGGTCATCATGTTCATAGATGACGAACAGCGTGTGCTGAAATCCATGCGCGCAATGTTCCGCAGAGATTACGATGTTCTGCTGGCCAACTCCGGGGCCGAAGCCCTGCAGTTGTTGGCATCACACAATGTTGAAGTGGTGGTATCAGACCAGCGCATGCCGGAAATGACCGGCGTAGAGGTGCTGGCCGAAATTAAACAACGATCGCCGGAAACAGTTCGAATTCTGCTTACAGGCTATGCCGACCTTGCAGCGGTGGAAGCTTCAATCAATGAAGCGGAAGTATTCAGGTATCTGATGAAACCCTGTCCAGCAGACGAAGTGCGTGGCGCTGTACAGGCCGCTTTGGATTTGCGTAATGGTGCCGGGTCGGCCTCGCCGCTGGGTGAGAACGACATTGTTTATGTTGAAGACGATGAAAGACCGGTCAGCAACGTGACGCCGATTAACGCCAAAAGCAAAGCGGCGATAGCGGCGCCTGAGAAACCCGCTGCTTCGCCTGCCGTCGCCGTTGATATTCTTGTTTTCAGTGAAGATACAGCCCTGTTCAAAGGCATCGCGGCCGCCAGTCCAAACCACCGGGTCCATCAGGCTAAAAGTCAGACCCAGGTGCTGGGCATGGTGCAGGAGCATCCCATCGGTGTGCTGGTTACAGATGTTGGCGTTGATGAAAAGGGTGTGGCGCAGCTGAGCCAGGCCGTGCGCGAGGTCACGCCGGAGATTGTCATCATTCTCGCCAGTGAACGTTCGGATGCAAATCTTCTGATACAGCTGATAAATTCAGGCCAGGTGTTCAGATTCTTACTTAAACCCTTACAGGCGGGACAGTGCAAAATCTGGTTGGCCTCGGCGATGCGTCGCTTTCTGGATAGTGGTGGTCAGGCGCTTGCTGCATTTGACTATGTGGTCACCAAACCCAGTGCGTGGGTGCGCTTTAAACACTGGCTGTTGGGTACACAAGCATGAATGGGTTGGCCTGGCGCGGCAACAGTTTGAGTATCGGCCAGAGTTTCACGGTAGCTGCCTGGGTGGTTATTCTCGGCGTGGTTGGCAGCTGGTTCATGTTGAAACAAGGCCCCGGGCAGGTGCTATCCGACCTGCCTGAGATTCCCAGGTTTACGCTCACAACCGTATCTGATGTCACCGAGACAACCTGGATTCAACGTGCTGAACAGGCTTACGCTGCGGGTCGGATCACTCGACCAGAAGGTGATAGCGCATTGTTCTTCTACCAGAAAATGCTGGCTCGAGACGCTGAAAATTTGTCCGCGCTGGCAGGTATCGAACGTATTACCAGCTATCTGATTAATGCCGCTGAATCAGCGCTGTTGAAAGAGGATTGGTCAGCTGCTGCAGACTGGGCCGCTCAAACACTAGCGATTGATGCAAACAACCTGGCTGCACGCTCAGTTGTTACCCGGGTAGAGCGTTTTGAACGGATCAAATGGCTGGGTGATCGCGCAGTGGATCAGATTGCAGCCGGCAATCTGACTAAACCTGAAGGCAACAATGCGCTGGCATCTTATCGAGAAATGCTCAGCATGGATCCCGCCAGCATCGTTGCACAACAGGGCATTGAGTCGGTTGCCCAACGTCTGGCCACTGTCGCTCAAACAGAAGCCTTTGCTGACAATCATGCGCGCGCCCGCGAGCTTATTGCGCTGGCAAAAAGCATTGCTCCAGATGCCCCCGGTATTGCGCAAACTGAGAAACTCACCTTGCAGTGGACTGATATGGTCAAAGATCAGGCGGTCAAAGAAGACCTGCTTGCTGCTGCGAAGGCTATGCAGGAGGGGCACCTCCTGGGTATTCATTCACCCACCGGGATAGGTGCGCTTGATCACTATCAATCAGTGTTGAAGAAAGACCCTAACTCCAGCGCCGCGCAGTCCGGGGTTAGCCTAGTGATTGACGGGTTGTTGGATCAGGCCTGGGCGCTCGCCCGCGAAGAGCGCCTTGCCGAGGCGGCTACGCTGGTCAGCCAGGCTGAGCAGGCAGGTGCAACTAATTCCGAGTTACGTGGCATAAAATCGGAATTGGATTTCCTGCAGCGGCGGGCGACTGCCAGAGCGGGTAACTTCGACACGGTATTGGCTATTCGAGAGTTGGTTGTACGACGTCAGGGTGCGCCCATCCTGCCCAGGAATTCACAGGGTGGTTGGGTCGAACTTCTGTTTACCGTGGATGAAGATGGCGGCGTGAAAGACATAGAGGTTGTTGAAGCCAGTAGTTCTGAACTGCTGGAGCCCGCTCTGAGTGCGGTTAAAAAGTGGCGTTTTGAACCTTATCTGGACGATGGCCGTCCGCTACCCGTTCGAAGCGGCGTACGCTTCTCTTTTCAAACCTAAAAAAAAGCCCACGCTAGCGTGGGCTTTTTATTCTCTTCAGATAGGTGACCTTACGAACCTTCGTATTTACGAACCTCGTGACGACCAACAACCATGTGATGCACCTCATCAGGACCGTCAGCGATACGCAAAGTACGCTGGCCAGCATACATGCGTGACAGCGGGCTCCACTGGGATACACCGGTTGCGCCATGCATCTGGATGGCCTGGTCGATGATCTTGCAGACTTTCTCTGGAACCATCGCTTTCACCGCACTGACATGGATACGGGCTTCTTTGTTGCCCATGATATCCATGGCTCTGGCAGCTTGAAGCACCATCAGACGACAAGCGTCCAATTCGATGCGTGCGCGCGATACCACTTCGATGTTTTTACCCAACTGGATGATTGGACGGCCAAACGCACTGCGGGTGCTGGCACGGCGGATCATCAGTTCAAGGGCGCGTTCACCAGCACCAATAGAGCGCATGCAGTGGTGGATACGACCAGGGCCGAGACGAACCTGAGAAATTTCGAAGCCACGACCTTCGCCGAGCAACATGTTTTCTTTAGGCACACGCACGTTATCAAATTTGATATGCATGTGGCCGTGCGGGGCATCATCCTGGCCAAAGACTTCCATGCCTTCAAGAATGTTTACCCCGGGGGTATCAATGGGCACAAGGATCTGCGACTGCTGCTTATGTGGCGGTGCATCCGGGCTGGTTTTTACCATGGTAATCATGATCTTACAGCGAGGATCTCCGGCGCCTGAGATATAGAATTTCTCACCATTAATGACCCACTCGTCGCCTTCAAGTACAGCTGCGGTGCTGATGTTTTTGGCATCAGAAGAGGGCAGACCAGGTTCTGTCATGGCAAATGCAGAGCGGATCTCACCGTTCAACAGAGGTTTTAACCACTGTTCTTTCTGTGCAGGTGTGCCGACACGCTCGAGTACTTCCATGTTGCCTGTGTCAGGCGCAGAGCAGTTCAAGGTTTCGGAAGCCAGGCTGTTTTTGCCCAGTTCGTTTGCGATATAGGCATAGTCCAGGTTGGACAGGCCCTCGCCGGTATCGGCATCAGGCAAAAAGAAATTCCATAGACCGTTGTCTTTGGCTTTCTGCTTGACGGTATCGAGTAGCTCGAGCTGGCCAGGTGCCCAACTCCAGCGGTCTGCGCGGCCTTCGCCGAGTGCGTAGAATTCCTCGGTTATTGGTTCTACGTTTTCTTTGATGTGTTTTTTAACCGCATCAAGTAGAGGCTGAGCCTCTTCTGACATGGTTAAGTCGAAAAGGTCTGGGTTTTCCAGAGCTGCTTCTGCCATCGTTCCCCTCTTTATTTGGTTGATTCAACTGGCGATTCCAGGGGATTGATTTTACTCACATCTACCCGGCAGGCGCCAGCAATGCCGGAGCGTGTCTGACGTGAAATGCCCGAAAAATTGGGCTTTTAAGGGTAACTACTTAGTGGTTTGTCAGTTCAGCACCGAGTAGCCGCGGTTACGCAGACAGTTGCGCACCACGGCCTGTTTTTCGCTGGCTGCGCGACCTGCGCCTTCAGCGCCACCGGCTACTGCACCCACGCCTGCGCCGCGTTGCGCGGTGTCACTGTTGCCAACCGCCGCGCCTATAGCGGCACCCACTGCAGCGCCAGCCAGCGCTCGCCCGGCGGTCTGACCGCCCACGTTGACCTGTTCAGCAAGGACAGTACATTCGCTCAGATCCTGATTGTATTGGGTCATGTTGACCCCTTTAGGGTCGATGATGATATTGCGGTTGGCGCAGCCTGCAGCAAGCAGGACCGTGCTCAACAGTACAATCAGGTGTGGTGTGCGAAGGAATAACATTGGTTCAGCCCAAATCGGTTATGGTTTGAAAGCAGTTCAACATCGACAATCTGAACGTGCGCTGAACCACTTTTTAATCTATTTTATATCCGGATGGGTACTTCTTTGCCATCTTTGCGTGCTGAGTCGTAAAGGGCATTCAGCATCGATTGCACCATCAGGGCATCCTCTATCGGAGCCGCACAGGGCCCTTTGTAGAGAAGCTGTTCAACAAAGCTGTCAATTTTGCGATTAAACACTGCTTTGAATGAGGTATCCGCCAGCCATGCGGGGGTTTTGTCGACCATATGCCCCGCTTCATCTGTGTGAATCACCGTTGGGTCCCAGGTGGCCCCACCTTTGCTGCCCATGAGCTGAAAATTCATCAGGCTGCGCTCACCGATATGGGCGGCAAATGCACACTCAATGTGCAGCACTGCGCCATTTGCAAATCGGATTCGACCCACAGCCAGGTCTTCGACATCGTAGGTTTTGTAATCCCACCCTGCCATCGGGCTTGCAATGGCGTCTGATGGTTGGTTGCCAAGATAGGTGAACATGTCGGCGCTGGCGCTGACAGGTTGTGGGCTACCCATGGTGAAGTGGGCCATTTCCAGAACGTGGACACCGATATCGATAATCGGACCACCGCCAGAGAGCGCTTTTTGACCAAACACACCCCAGTTGGGGATGCCGCGGCGGCGCATGGCCTGTACGCGTCCGAACAACACCTCGCCAAACGCGCCTTCCTCAAAAGCGCGTCGCAGATACTGAGTGCGAGGATCAAGGCGGTATTGAAACGCAACCACCAGTTGTTTGTTGGCTTGTTTGGCAGCTTTGGCCATACGTCGGCCTTCTGCGATTGTCATCGCCAGAGGTTTTTCGCACAGCACATGACAACCGGCTTTGAGAGCGGCAATGGTCGGCGCAGCATGAAAGCGGTTAGGGGTGCAGACACTTACCGCGTCTAATGTCTGCCGTTTTAGCATCTGCTTATAGTCGGTGTAGACGGCAGCATCCGGGTAGATGGCCTGTCTTTTTGCGAGGCTTTTCTCGTTCAGGTCGGCGAACGCTACCAGCTCTACGTCCGCACGACTGGCGAACTTGGCCATTTGTAATTCAGCGATGTCCCCGGCGCCGATGAATCCCACGCGTAACCGTCTGTTTTTTGTAGATCGTGCCATTGCTTTTCCCCTTAAGCAGAAATATTTACTGCGCTGCCGCCTGTTCAATACGCGGGTAATACAGCCCCAGCAGTATACTGCGGCTAATCATAAATATGCTCATGCCAAGCCAGACTGCGTGGTACGCCCACAGGTGAAAGAAGCCGATCAGGCTGATTGCCCAGATCAGGGCTGACAGGATCATCGCGTTGCGCATTTCAACGATGTGGGTGGTGCCGATGAAGATACCGTCGAAAAGAAAAGCCCAGACACACAGCAATGGACTGATGATCAGCCAGGGTAAATACGCCGCCGCGGTTTCCTGCACGGGGGCTGAAGTGGTCAGCAGCGAGATAACAAACTCGCCGAAGATCCAGAACATCAAGCCTGTGGCGACAGCGACGACAACCGCCCAGAACGCGCAGAATCTTGTTGTGCGACGCAGGTTGTCAGGTGCGCGTCCGCCATAAGCATAGCCCGCAAGGGTTTCCGCCGTGTGGGCAAAGCCATCAAGACCGTATGTCATGACAAAAAACAGCTGCATAAGCACGCCGTGTGCAGCCAGCGTGACGTCCCCCAGGCTTGTCGCCATAACGGTGCCGACAAAAAAAGGCAGTTGCACAAAAAACGTCCGCAGAATCAGGTTCGATCCGATATGAAACAATGCGCGCACAGCGTCACCGATCCAGATGTGTGCGGGCCACTGACCCTGCCAGCCACTGGTCTGCAGCGCCCGGTAAACAAACCCGATGCCGGCGACGGCGGCGAACCATTCGCTGATAATGGTGCCCAGGGCCACACCAGCAACCCCGTAATTCAATACCAGTACCAGTACTGCATTGAGGATGATGTTCGACAGATTGAAGCCAATGCTTAACCACAGCGTATCGCGCATGCGTTGCAAGCCGAACAGGGTGCCCAGAGCAACCAGATACAGAAGCAGGCCAGGTGCGCCGTAGATTCTGATTTCATAGTAAGTAGCGGCAAGCTCTGTAACTTCTGGAGAGGCATTGAACAACTGGAAGAGCAGCAGCTTCAACGGCGTCTGCAGTATTACAATGGCTGCACCGATCGCTAACGCAACTGCACCGGCACGCAGACATACCGCGAGCACTTCGTTGATGTTGCCGCCCCCGTAAGCCTGGGCGGTGAGGCCTGTGGTACTCATGCGCAGGAAACCAAACAACCAGTACACCGCGCTGAACAGCGTGGCGCCCAGCGTCACAGCGGCAATGAATTTAGGTTCGGGAAATCGCCCCATTACGGCAACGTCCACCAGGCCAACCAGGGGAATCGTGATGTTGGCGAGAATGACCGGCCAGGTCAGCTGCCAGATGCGCTGGTGCCAACCAGCACGGGTAGTAGGGAATTTCTGAATGATAGTCGTCCATGGCGCGCGTCCGCGCAGCTTAGCTGCGCGGGACGCAGCAGTCGACACAAAGGCTTATGTCAGCCGCCAGAGCCTGGTTGTGCGTATGAATCCTGCCGTACCGGTGTGGGTTTACGACCAAGCCAGGCTTTGAAACGCTCTATCTGATGTAGCCAGTCTTCCACCATCAGATACAGACAGGGCACCAGTAACAAGGTGATGAACGTGGCAAACAGAACGCCCCAGGCTAGAGAAACCGCCATGGGTTTAAACGGTGCGGTTGCGGGTGTTGAAGTGGCCATGAGTGGTATCAGCCCGACAAAGGTAGTGACCGAGGTCAGCATGATGGGGCGAAAACGGACGACACAGGCGGTAGTGATCGCTTCATAAATTTCTTTGCCTTCCCGACGCAGCCGATTGGCGGCATCAACCAGTACAAGGGAGGCATTCACCACAACACCAGAGAGTGCAACAATGCCAAGCGCTGAGAAGAACATCAGTTGTACTTCCAGTACCCAGTGGCCAACAATTGCACCCACGGCGCCGAATGGGATCACGCTCATGATCACAAACGGTTGTAAATAGCTGCGCAGGGGTATGGCCAGCAGGCCATAAATAACCACCAGGGAAAACAGGGCGCCCACTAACAGTCCGCCCATCGCAGTGCTGCGTTCTTCCTGTTCGCCACCCAGTTCGATGTCGATGTTAGGGTAGCGTTTCTGGAAGTCGGGTACTAACTCCGCGCGGATGCTGGCACTTACCTCTTCCGGCGCAACCGTAGACCGATCGACATCTGCACTGACAGTTACAGTTCGTCGACCATCGAGACGATTGATGCTCGAGTAACCACGGCTGATTTCAAAGCTGGCAACGCTGTAGAAGGGGACTTCACTACCATCCGGTGTGCGGATGTACATGTCTTCGAGATTGCCGATAGATTTTCGTTCCGACTCGGGAAAACGCACCATAACCCTGACGTCATCCTGTCCGCGTTGCAGGCGCTGGGCTTCGGCGCCATAAAATGCGCTGCGAACCTGGCCTGCCAGATCTGCCAGAGTTAAGCCGAGGTTGCGTGCTTCGGGTAATAGGTCGAGTTGAATTTCCTGTTTGCCCGAGCGGAATGAGTCGCGTATGTCGAATACGCCATCGTAGCGGGACAGCTCAGATTTCATCTGTTCAGCGGCTTCGCGTAGTTCTTCCACATCTTTACCTTTGAGCTGGTATTCGATGGGAGAGCCGGCTGAATAGGTGTCAGCATCGAAGGTCAGCTTGACCGCATCTGATACAGAGCCGACGTATTCACGCCAGCGGGTAACCACCAGTTTTGTACTGATATTATTGCGCTCAGCCAGAGGCGCAATGTCGATGACTATTTCAGCAATGTTGCTGCGTCCCGCACCCGCAGGGCGGCCGGGTCCGTTGCGATCAACATTCTGACCGACACTCGAAAGAATGTTGCGTACCAACGGTTGAGATAAGCCGAATTCCTCGGTCATATCGTCGTTTAATCGCAGGGCTGCTTCTTCTATACGTGCCGCCGCCGCCAGTGTGGTTTCAGCCGCGATGCCTTCCGGCAGTTCCAGCCCGGCATAAACCCGGTCACCTTCAATGGCTGGGAAAAAACCAAACACAACGCGGCCGCTGGCGATCAGTGACAGGGCCAGAATCAATACGCCCAGGCCAATTGCGGCACTGGCATAACGCCATTGGATGACCTTCTTTACAAAGGGCTGATAGTGATCTGAGGCAATGTTCTGCAGCCAGTTAGCCAGTCCGCCCTGGAAACGATTCCAGGCGGCTGATAGGCCGGTGGTGGGTTCGCTGTGTTTCCGATGCGCAAGGTGTGAGGGCAGAATCAGTTGGGATTCAATAACGCTGCAGATCAACGCAAATATAACGACCCACCCGATAGGAGAAAAGAAGCCGGCCATACGGCCTTCAACCATAATCAACGGCAGGAAGGCGGCCACGGTCGTCAGAACGCCAAAAATAACCGGCACCGATACTTCCCAGGTGCCATCAACCGCAGCGGTCAGGGGTGGTTTGCCGGTCTGTTCCTGGGCAAAGATGCGCTCGCCAACAACAATGGCGTCGTCAACGACAATCCCTAAAACCAGAATAAACGCCATGACGGTCATGGTAGAGATGTTGATGTCGGTGAAAGGCAGCGCAGCCAGAGTGCCTAACAAGGCGACAGGAATGCCGATGGCTACCCACATGGCTACCCGGAATTTCAGGAACAGGGCAAGGATAACCAGCACCAGAACCAGGCCGCCGCCAGCGTTTGCTGTCAGTACCGACATACGTTCCTGCAATTCAAAGGAGGTGTCGATCCAGGTATTCAGAGAGATACCTTCAGGTACCGGGTAATTGTCGACAAGCTGGCGGACATCTTCTGCGATTTCTATGAGGTCTTCATTACCGACTTGAGATACGTTGACCACAACGCCACGTTTGCCATTAAAACGCGCCAGCAAATCACCTTCTTCAAAGGTATCGCGAATAATGCCCAGATCGCGCAGTGTTACCCGGGTGCCATCTGAGCGCGTCAGCACAACAACGTCTTCAAACTCCTGACCCCAGTAAGCCTGCCCCGTGGTGCGTATCAGAATTTCACCGTTAGAGGTCTTGATTGTGCCGCCAGGCATATCCAGGGAGCTTTGCGCGATGGCCTGGCTGACCTGATTCAGCGTGATGCCGTAGCGCCTTAGTTCCTGTTCCGATACTTCAACAGAAATTTCGTAAGGTCGAATGTATTCCACCGCCACTTGTGAAATACCGTCGACGGCAGCGATATCATCGCGCAGTTCACGCGCCACTTCTTTTAAGGTGCGCTCATCAGTGTCGCCGGACACGGCTATTTGCACAACCCGGCGGGTGACAGCAAGCTTGGAGACGATTGGTTTTTCAGTTTCAGCCGGAAAGCTGTTGATGCCGTCAACTCGGCTCTTTATTTCGTTAAGGACACCCACCTCATCGGCTTCAGAAAGCAGTTCAGCAGTCACGTTGCAGATGCCTTCGGTGGCAGTTGAACGAAGCTTGTCGATGCCCTCCAGGCCTTCGATGGCCTCTTCAATGCGGATGCAGACTGATCGTTCTACTTCCACGGGCGCCGCGCCCAGGTAGACCACCCGAACGTTTACAACTTTGATATCAAAGTTGGGGAATTCTTCCTGGTTGGTGGTGATAGCGCCAAAGGCGCCACCCAGGAGCAGCAGAATCATCAGCAGATTGGAGGCAACAGGATTGTGCGCAAACCATCGGATCGCAGTGTACATGGGTGGAAGTGTCCTTTACGCGTCTTCGATGATCGGGTTGACCGTCATACCTTCAATGGCTGTCTGGATGGGTGACAGGCAGACCCGATCGCCGTTGCTTAAACCTGACTGAACCAGAACGTTATCCTGATAGAGGCGTAAAGGTTCAATGGCTCTGAATCTCAGCTTGTCTTCGGCGTCGACAACCAATACCTGATTGTTATTACGCAGCGCTGAGCGCGGTAAAACAAAAATATCTTCTGCTGAAAGCCCCTGAATTTCTGCGTTCACAAATAAGCCCACCGCCAGCGGTTGCTGGGCGCCATCGCTGGGGACTCTGGCAACCAACTGCACCATACGGCTGGAAATGTCGATTTCTGCTTCAGTGCGAACAATTTTTCCTTTCCAGGTCAGCTGTTGCCCCGCGTATTCCGTGCGCAGGATGACATCGGGTTGCATCTCGGGTGGCAGTTCGCCGCGCATCATCGGAGGTAAGTTCAAAAAAGCCAGTTGACGGTCTGCTATAGGCAGTCGCACCTCAACCAGGTCGCTGGCATAAAGCGTTGCAATTGGTGAGCCGCGGGATACAAACTGGCCGATATCCACATTTTCAGAACGTACCAGACCGGTAAAGGGAGAACGAAGTTCGGTGCGGGCGATGTCCTGTTGCGCCTGCTCAAAGCTAACTTTTGCGTCCTGTAAGGTAGCTTCCGCTACCCGCAGGGCGCGCAGTGAGTTTTCCATCTGCGAGCGAGCAGCCAGTTGCCGCTCCTCAAGGCTTTTCAAACGCTGATATTCGAAGCTGGCATGCTGTTGTTCTGCTTCGGCGCGTACCAGATTCGCTTTAGCCCGGTCTTTCATATTCTGATAATCGGACTTGTCTACCTCGGCCAGCAGCTCGCCTTTTTCAAAGAATCCACCAGCAACCAGTTTTGGTGACATCCAGGTGATGCGGCCCGAAACCTCAGGGATCAGCTGGCTTTCCGTAGATGGCATAACGCTGCCCTGGGAGTGAACCTTCAGCTGTACCGATTCAGCCTGCACCTCGCGGATACGAACCGTGGTGGGAATGGGTGTCTGCGCAGCGGGTTCAAGCACCGGCGCGGTTGCCATCAGCGTCATCGCACCAAAAATAAATACAACAACAATAATCAGCGGGATAACAAACGTACGTATCATGGTGTGACGGCCTCCTGGCCAACAGCGGCGCGAGCGCTGTCAAACGCGCGCATCATGGTTTCCTGATTCAAATTTGAAAAAGCGGTGAAGGATTTACGAACCCCTTCCTGGTCGCGTTTGGCCAGCGCGGCATCGAGCTGAACGGCAAAATCCCGGTAGCGACTGTTGTCGATAACAGCAAAAGGGTGGATGGCTGTCAGATTCGGCGCGACCTGTTCGAACAGTGTGCGTGCAATCAGCCGTAACGGCAGATTGCAGCTGGCAGACATGAATGACTCCATTAACTCGAATCGTGCCAGTGTGTGGGCTTCTTTGCCCAGCTCGTCGTGGATCAGTGGTTTAACCAGTTCTCGTATAGCGGTAATTTCGTCATCGCTGGCCAGCTCCAGGGTTTGCTGAGCGGCCATGCTGACCATGGAGTTGATGACCATGAGAATCTGATCGACCAGCCTGGGGTCCGGCAGATCGCCTTGTGCAAGCAGGTGACCGATGACGTCGAGACTGGCGTCCTCAGTTTTTTTCACCCGGGCGCCGCCGGGTTGAACTTCGGCCAGGCCAATCTGTTCCAGTTTTTTCATCGCCTCGCGCACAGCGCCGCGATTAGCATCGAAACGTGCCGCCAGGTCTCGTTCAGAGGGCAGGCGTTCTGCAACCCGGTAGTGACCGGACAGAATATCCTGAATCAGGCTGCCGGCGATGATGTCGTGTTTTCCAGCCAAGGAAACATGCTCCAAAGGTGCCAGTAACCGTCTTCGACTGTCTGGCGTATGAGTTTGGTCTGTCCGAATTGGTCAGACCACCATGGTCAGGGCAAGTCTAGTTGGAATTTGCGGAACATCAAGGGCTTTGTTACGCAAAGTAACGAAATGTGCGCCAGGGCACACTGGCCCCGGCGAGGAAGGGAGGGTAGAAAGTAAGCCGGGCAGAGGCCAGCTTACTTGGAGCGTCGATCCAGCATGTTCCCGGTGCGTAACAACTGTTCAACCTTCTGGCGTCGTTCATGGGTGCGTATTGACCAGTAGCTTTCGTCAAATGCGGCTCTTTCGGTGCGCAGAATGACACCCATGGCGGTTGGCAGATGCAGATTGGCCAGCAGCAGGGCAAGCGTGGGGTTGGTCTCGTCATGCACCTGTATGTCCTCCAGCGTGACGCCATCTTCGCCCAGAGTGACACACTCCAGGCTCAGGGTCTTCGGATTGAGTCTTAGACCTTTCTCATTATTGGCGCCATACAGCAACGGCTCGCCGTGACGGACATGAATTTGTGTTTCTGCGGCGGTCTTTTTGGCGACAACATCGTCGAACACGTCTTTGTTGTAAACGATGCAGTTCTGCAGAATTTCAACAAAGCTGCTGCCTTTATGGTGCTTTGCCTCGTTGAACAGCCCCGGCATGGTTTTCTGGTCGATGTCGACACAGCGGGCAAAGAAGGTTGCGCCTGCACCGATGGCAAACTGACCAGGTGCCAGCGGCGCTTCAACAGAACCAGCCGGGCTGGTCGGGCTGTGCGTGCCAGGTCTTGAAGTGGGTGAGTACTGCCCTTTGGTCAGGCCATAAATTTCATTGTTGAACAACAGGATATTCAGGTCGATATTGCGACGCAGGGTATGCAGCAGGTGGTTGCCACCAATGGACAGACCGTCGCCATCGCCGGTGACCACCCATACTTCCAGTTCAGGGTTTGCCAGTTTTACACCAGTTGCAAATGCCGGTGCGCGGCCGTGAATGGTATGGAAGCCGTAGGTGTTTACGTAGTAAGGCAGTCGCGATGAGCAGCCGATGCCTGACACAAATACCGTTTTTTCAGGTACAGAACCCCCTTCGGCAAGGGCTTTATGTACGCTTTTTAAAATAGCGTAATCGCCGCACCCGGGGCACCAGCGTACTTCCTGATCTGTGGCAAAATCTTTAAACGTCAATGCATTCATATCAACCTCCTACCTGTTCCTGCGGCTCAAGGGTCGTTTTTGGGGTGCTGGGGGCAAACTTCGAAATGAACGCTCTGACTTCGTCCACATTAAGCGGCTGGCCGGTGACTTTGTTGAATTGTTCCACCCGAACATTGAGCTTATCGCGCAGCAGCGTGGCCAGTTGGCCTGTGTTCAGCTCCGGCACAATAATGGTCTCAAAACCGGCCAGCAGCTCACCCAGATTGGATGGCAGAGGGTTGATGTGCCGCAGATGGATGTGGGCGACCTGTTCGCCTGCTGCCAGTGCGTCTTTCACTGCTTTGTAGAGGGTGCCGTAGGTTGATCCCCACGCCACTACCGCCACACCACCTGACACACCCTGGTCGATGGTCTGCGGCTCGATAAAATCAGCAACACTGGCAACTTTCTGCGAACGCACATCGGTCATCGCCTGATGATTAGCTGCATCGTAGGAGATGTTGCCGGTATCCACGTCTTTTTCGATGCCACCCACCCGGTGAACGAACCGGGCATCGCCGGGGGCCGCCCAGAGGCGTGCATGGGTATCGGGTTGCCTTTCGAAAACCGCTTGTTGGGTCGCTGCAGTGGGTTTGTGGGTATCAATTGCCGGATATTGCGCAAAATCAGGAATTGGCCACAGTTCTGATGCATTGGCGATGTAACCGTCGGTCAGCAAAATCACCGGTGTCATGTGGCGTAGCGCAATGCGCACCGCTTCGATGGCAGCATCAAAACAGTCTGCTGGCGATCGAGCGGCAACAACGGGCAGAGGCGTGTCACCGTTGCGTCCGTAGACGGCCTGGTAAAGGTCGCTTTGCTCGGTTTTGGTGGGCATGCCAGTGGAAGGGCCGGCGCGCTGACTGTTGACCAGCACCAGGGGCAGCTCGGTGGCAACCGCTAACCCCAGCGCTTCCATTTTCAAGGCAACGCCGGGTCCGCTGGATGAAGTGATGCCAAGCTTGCCTGCATAAGAGGCGCCGATGGCGGCGCAGACTGCGGCTATTTCATCTTCCGCCTGAAATGTGGCAACACCTGCCTCTTCCAGTCCCACCAGGTGGTGCAGCAAGCTGGAAGCTGGCGTGATCGGGTACGAGCAGAACATAAGTTCTGTATCTGCTAATTCACCGGCAGCGACAAGGCCCAGGGCGAGGTTTTCCGCGCCGGTGATGGTGCGGTACTCAACACTGTCCAGTGGCGCCTGGGGGGTATGCTGCTGGTGCAGAATCTGGGCGACCTCAGTGTTTTCGCCGTATGCATGGCCAGCATCCAAAGCAACCAGATTAGCGTCCCGAATTTGCTCGTTGCTGGCAAATTTCTGGTTGATCCAGTTTCTTGTCGGCTCGCGGGGTTGATCAAACATCCACAGAATCAGGCCCAGTGCCCAGAAGTTCTTACAGCGACCGGCGTCTTTGGTACCCAGGCCAAGGGGTTTTACCGCTTCTACGGTCAGATTGCTGATGTCGATCGGCACAACCTGGTATTTGTCCAGGGTGCCATCTTCAAGGGGATTAGATTGCAGATCCGCGCGTTTCAGGCGTTGGGTGGTAAAGGCGTTGGCATCAACCAGAATCAGAGAGTCCGCTTTCAGGTTACCCAGATTTACCACCAGGGCTGCTGGGTTAAACGCTATCAGTACATCTGGCGCATCACCCGGTGTTGTGATGCGATCGCCGCCGAACTGGATCTGGAAGGCGGAAACACCGTAACGCGTCCCCGCTGGTGCGCGAATCTCTGCTGGAAAGTCAGGCAGGGTAGATAAGTCGTGTCCGGACATGGCAGAAGCCACGGTGAATTGCTGCCCCTGCAGCTGGATGCCGTCTCCAGAGTCGCCAGCGAATCGGATGACGTGGCTTAATTTGCCGCCAAGTTGTTGTTCCACTTTACTTTTCTGCCAAAAAAATAGGCGCGCATTGTAGCGAACTTGGGCTTATTTGCGACATTTGACTTGGATTGAGATGGTATATGGTTATTTGCTCGGCGCTCAGTCAGATTGACTCTGCAGCCAGACAGGGTAGAGTGCCGCCGCTTTAAACCAATGGAGAAAGTGATGAAAATAGTTGCGAGTACCGATGCTTATACCATCGTTCAGCGCAAAGACAGCCGCTACGCGGTTGTTGGCGCAAACAAGAAGCCGATAAATGGCGCTGAAAAAGTTGCCATTCTACTGGAGCATGGCCTGATAACGGCGCCTGCGCCCAAAGCGCCTGAACCAGAGCCCGAAGTTGAAGCTGCAGCAGAAGACGCAACAGAAGCAGCTGGTGAAGCAGAAGCGTCTGAAAGTGATGCTGAAGAAGGCGAAGCGTCTTAGACTGCACATTGATGTTTGTCAGGATGTAATGCCGTGAGCAATGCTGATCCGTTCCGGGTTGAATCTGAATACGAACCTGCGGGGGATCAGCCCGCTGCAATTGCGGGTCTGGTGGAAGGGCTTGAGTCAGGGCTCAGCCATCAGACGCTGCTCGGCGTAACGGGTTCCGGAAAGACATTTTCCATTGCCAAGGTTATTGAGCAGGTCCAGCGTCCAACGTTGGTACTGGCGCCCAACAAAACTCTTGCCGCACAATTGTACGGCGAGTTCAAAGAGTTTTTCCCCAACAATTCGGTGGAATACTTTGTTTCCTATTATGACTACTACCAGCCTGAAGCCTACGTACCGGCTTCCGATACCTACATTGAAAAAGATTCGTCTATCAATGCTCATATTGAACAGATGCGACTGTCAGCCACTAAGGCGCTGTTAGAACGACGCGATACAATCCTGGTTGCCTCTGTCTCCGCCATTTACGGTTTGGGTGATCCCCAGTCTTATTTGCGTATGGTGCTGCATCTAGATCGAGGTGACCGTGTCGACCAGCGTCAACTCTTGATGCGGCTGGCTGAGCTGCAGTACACCCGCAACGATCAGGTGTTTCAACGCGGCACCTATCGTGTGCGCGGTGATGTGGTCGATATCTTTCCGGCGGAATCAGAAAAAGAAGCCATTCGTGTTGAGCTGTTTGATGATGAGATTGAAGACCTTTCGGTGTTTGATCCGTTGACGGGTGAAATCATCAATCGGGTACCCCGTTATACCGTGTTTCCAAAAACTCACTACGTGACCCCGCGTGATCGCATGTTGAGCGTGCTGGATGACATCAAAGAAGAGCTGCAGGATCGGCTTAATTACCTGACCACAAACAATAAGCTGGTTGAGGCTCAGCGACTCGAACAGCGGACCCGATTTGATCTGGAGATGATCCAGGAATTGGGTTATTGCTCCGGTATCGAAAATTATTCGCGCTACTTGTCGGGTCGTGAGCCCGGGCACGCACCGCCAACGCTGTTCGATTATCTGCCCAAAGATGCCTTGCTGGTCATCGACGAATCCCATGTAACGGTGCCGCAGATTGGCGCGATGTATAAAGGCGATCGCTCGCGCAAAGAGACCCTGGTTGAATTTGGCTTCCGTCTGCCTTCCGCGTTGGACAACCGCCCGTTGCGATTTGATGAGTGGGAGCGGCTTGCACCGCAGATGATATTTGTTTCTGCAACGCCGTCTAACTATGAGGCGGAAAAAGGCGGGCAGGTTGTTGAGCAGGTGGTGCGACCCACAGGTCTGGTTGACCCCGAGATCATCATTCGCCCGGCGACGACCCAGGTTGAAGATCTGCGCGGCGAGATTGATGATGTGATTGCGGCGGGTGAGCGTGTACTGGTGACGACACTCACCAAACGCATGGCTGAAGACTTAACCGAATACCTGGATGAGCATGGTGTGCGCGTCCGCTACCTGCACTCAGATATCGACACGGTAGAGCGGATGGAAATCATTCGCGACCTGCGCCTTGGTGAGTTTGATGTGCTGGTGGGTATTAACCTTCTACGCGAGGGTCTGGATATGCCCGAAGTCTCTCTAGTTGCCATCTTAGATGCTGACAAAGAGGGGTTTCTGCGTTCAGAGCGGTCTCTCATCCAGACCATCGGGCGCGCAGCACGAAATCTGCACGGCCGTGCAATTCTTTACGCAGACAGGATAACGGGTTCCATGGAGCGCGCCATTGGTGAAACCGATCGTCGCCGTGAAAAGCAGGTCACCTACAATACTGAACATGGCATAACACCCACAACCATCACCAAATCTATTGCTGACATCATGGAAGGTGCAAGGGTGGTGGGCCCAGGCGCACCGAAGAATGCCGGTCGCCAGAAAGATAAAGATAAGCAGGTTATTGAAATACCCAGAGATCCCCGAGCCTTAGGTAAACTGCTGGCAAAGCTTGAAAAGCAGATGTTGCAACACGCACAGAATCTGGAGTTTGAGGAGGCGGCAGCCCTTCGCGATCAACTACAAAGCATTCGTGATGCCAGCTTAAAAAGCTAGTGAGAACGCTAAGCGTCCGCACAGCTTCCTTCTAACTTACAAAAATCAGCTGGTGGGCGCGACCGTTGTATCAGCCACCCAGTTACCATGGAACCCATACGGTACACGACTGGGCAGATGAACCTGCGCAAGGGCTGGGCGGGACAAGTCCTGGGCATCCAGAATAAGCAGGTCACTGGTATTTTTGTTGGCATCAAAAACATAGGTCATCAGGTAGCCGTCATCTTCATCTGTTGCCCCTTGCCGAGGAACAAATACGGGTTCTGCACTTTGTCTGCCTGCACCCATGGTGAATTCAGTGGAAGTACCCGAACGCATATCGTGTTTTAAGATGGATGGGAATCCATATTTGCCTGCACCTCCGGCCACCGCGACGGTGTAACCGTATTGATAAGGCTTACCGTTTAATGCGGGATGAATACGGGGGAATTCCTGGGTGCGCGCATCCACAACGGTTTCGCTCACTTTGCGGGTGTTCGGGTTGACCGTCCAGCGGTCCAGGCGCGGCAGGCTGTCTCCAAACGGTCCGTTTATATCGTTGTCGAACATTTTGTCGTAGCGACAAATATCTATGACGACGTTACCGGCTGCATCTTCGTATGCATTCATCGGGTGATAAGCGTAGTTAGCGGTTATGGGCGACCAGATGATGTCACTGGCATCGCCGTTGCGTGGCATCAGGCCGATGCGGGGTTCATGTTCGTCATCCCAGCGGAAGGGGAAGGACGCGCCGGTGCCCAGGGCCATGAAACTCAAGGTAACGGGTAGGTCGTAGATCACCACATAATTCGCCGTGAGGCTCATGTCGTGAATCATTGGCATGCCACTTAACGGAATCTCTGTTTCGTCCGCCCATTCACCCTCAGCGTCCACCACAACATAACGCACGTGATCGCGTAATGATGCCCAGTCGTAACAAATGGCATGTAATTCGCCGGTATCCGGGTCGAGTTTAGGGTGCGCGGTATAGCCAGTACCGATAGACGTGTTGTCGCCCAGGGAATCCAGGGTGTAGCTCATATCCTGAGGTAAGCCGCCAGATTCAACTATGGCCAGGGTGCGACCAGCGTGACCAATGACGTTAGTGTTGGCGGCGCTGCCACCCACAAAACGGCTGTGGTACCACTCGGCTCTGCCTTCGTTCAGGCGCAGGCCATGGACCATGCCGCGGCCGGTGAACCAATGGTACGAGCCAGCATCAACGTCAGCGCCAGGATTAGGTCCATTACGTAGAAAGCGACCGCTGAGATCTGCCGGGATGGAGCCAGTGACCTGCAGACTTGTCGCAGTGGTTTCATCCGCGACCCCGGCAAAGTTATTCTGCAGATACATATTGTCTGCGCCGCTGCCGCCAGAGCAGGCGGAGAGTGCCAGCGGGGTAAAGGGTAGGGCGATGCCGCCTTTGAGCAGGTGTCGTCGTTTCATAGTCTTCTCTCTGAGCTGCGCATTTTGTTCTTAGCAGGCATTGTTGGTGTTCAGATCGACGCTGACAAGCCCTTTTGCCGCTTATAGAGTTAGAGCGCGGCACCTTTTTCGAAGGTTATCGGCATGTGTCTGATGCCGGAGATGAAATTGGACGCGAGCCACTCAGGTGTTTCCGCAAGCTGGAAGTTATGCATGCGCGACAGAATTTCGTGAAAGATGCAGTCAATTTCAACTCTTGCAATATGTTGGCCCAGGCACACATGTGTACCCGTGCCAAACGCAATCTGCTCGTTGGGGAAGCGGTGTAAATTCAGCTGGTCGGGTTGTTCGAATTTGGCTGGGTCGTAGTTGGCGGCACCAAAGTAGCGTACAACTTTATCGCCAGCTTTTATCTGTTGGCCGTGCAGTTCTACATCTCGTGTTGCTGTGCGACGAAAGTAAATCACCGGGCTGACTAAGCGCAGGAGCTCGTCCCGCGCGGAGGTGTCGAGATCATCACCTCGGTGTGCCTGCCAGTCGGCCAGTGCAGCGGGATTTCTGATCAGCTCATACAGCCCGCCTGCAACCAGGTTTCTGGTGGTATCGCCACCGGCATCAATCAGCAGCATGAAAAACAGCTGGAAATCGATGGCATCCAACCGGCGACCATCTACCTCTGCATGCACAATCTGGCTCGCCAGGTCGTCGGTCGGCTTAGCCAGCTTGCGCTGATAAACATCCTGAGCATAGGCAAACATTTTGGTGACAGTGTCTAACTGTTCCCCAGGTGCCAATGCTTCCGGTGCGGTGTGTATGATCTCCGTCAGTTTATACAGCTCGCGTCCATCCACCAGCGGAATGCCGGTCAGCTCAGCAATGACGTATGACGGCAGCTCGCCAGCCACTTCGCTGACAAATTCACATTCGCCGCGTTCAATGATTGGGTCAATGATCTGCGCGGCGAGCTCGGCAATGCGTGGACGCAGGGCTGCAGCCGGGCCTCGGGTGAACTCCTTGCTGATGATGCGCCGAAACTGTGTATGCTGGGGCGGGTCCATCATCAGCATCATTTTATGCTCACCGCCGCCCAGATCGCCATTGGCAGGGTCCGGGTCTGGCAACATAACGGTTGGTTCAGATGAATACAGCAGTGGCTGACGACCGACGTCAGCGACGTCTTCATAACGGGTGAGCGCCCAGAAGCCGGGTCCGTCGGGTTCTTCGTGCCAATACACGGGCGCGTTGTTCTGCAACCAGTGGTATTGATCCAGAGGGTGCCCGTTGGCAAAACTGGCTGGGCTCAAGAGGTCAATTTTCATTTACGAATTATTTTCCCAATAGGGTTCGCGCACAACACGGCGCTGGATTTTGCCTGCAGCAGAACGAGGTAACTCGCTCACGTAATCAATGCTGCGCGGGCACTTGAAGTTAGCAAGTCGCTCTCTAGCCCAGGTGATTAATTCATCGGTTAAAGCCTGGCTGGGTTCAACATCATCGTGCAGTTGCACCACAGATTTTACTTCTTCGCCCCATTCGTCATTGGGTACGCCGATGGTACAGACATCAACAACGGCCGGGTGTTTGTGAATCTCGCTGTCTACTTCCTGAGGGTAGATATTCACACCCCCGGAAATAATCAGTTCCGCGCTGCGGCCGGTGAGAAACAGGTAGCCATCCTCGTCAAAATAGCCCATATCACCAAGCGTGAAATAATCACCCCGATAAGACTTGCTGGTTTTGTTGTTGTCTTTGTAATACTCAAAGCGGCCCTGGGACACTTCCGGCGCGCGCATATAGATTGTACCGATTTCGCCGATGGCTACGGGGTTGCCGTCATCGTCGAGTATTTTGTTATCAAATTCAGGGCCAGGACAACCTACTGTGCCGGGTTTAGTCAACCACTCTTCAGATCCCACCAGGAATCCGCCGCCACCCTCTGTCGCGGCATAGTACTCCCAGATGATCGGTCCAAACCAATCGATCATGGCGTGTTTGATATGTACAGGGCAGGGTGCTGCGCCGTGAATGAGAAACTTGAGTGACGAAAGATCGTATTTTGTCCGGGTGTCTTCCGGCAGACCTAACATGCGGTGAAACATGGTAGCAACCATATGTGTATGGGTGATCTTGTGTTCTTCGATCAAGCGCAGGCATTCTTCAGCATCCCACTTGTCCATCATAACGATGCCTACGCCAGACCATAGCGGTTGCACGATGTCGATGAGCAAAGGTGCCGCGTGATAGCCTGGTCCGGTAACCAGGCCGCGGTCCTGTCCTGGTGTGTAGGCTGCTGGAGTGTCACCCCACTGCGGTACTTCCAACAGCTTTGCTTTGCGGTACACGCCTTTCGGCCGGCCGGTAGTGCCTGAGGTGTACAACATGCGTGAGCCAAGCTCGGGCTGCTCGATGTTGTCGCCATCTAGGTTGGCAATTGCGGCAGAAAAATCGGTGAAGCCTTCGATCTCGCCGCCAACACTGAGCAGCAGGTGCGCGCCGGAGGCGTGGCTGGGTGCTTCGATAACCGGTTGTCCTAAACTGGCATCCGCAACAAATGCTTTGGCTTCACAGTTGTCCACAATGTAACCAATCTCTTCGCCTTTTAAATGAAAGTTGATCGGGGTGAAGCGAATGCCGCTGCGGGTTGTCGCAACCAGGGTTTCGATAAATTCAGGTCGGTTCTTGGTGACAATGGCAACAGAGTCACCGGGACCAATGCCGTGCTGCGCCAACAACCGCACCAACCGATTGGCGTTAGCGTTTAACTCCGCAAATGAGCGTTCACCATACTGCGTGATCACCGCCGGGTTCTGTGGCTGCTGCTCGGCGTGTAAAGCCACCAGCATGCCGTGTTCGATGGCCCATTCCAGCGTCATGGCATTCATGTATTTCCCCTTTTATCCCCGAATCTCTTACATAGATTTGTACGCACTGAAGCTTGCAGTTGCAAGTCGTCAGAAAAAAATTCAGTGCAGAAACAAAAAGCCCCACACGAGGTGGGGCTTTGTTGGTCTTAGAAGAGGCTATTTGACTAAAAATCACTACCAAATCGGTAGGTGACTTCCAGACCGTAGAACTGTGGATACAGAGGCTGAGCCAGCTGACGGTAGTCGTTGCTTGCCGTTTGTGTCGTAATTCCGCGTGAGTAGACCTTGTCCATCACGTTGTCTACGAAACCGCGCACTACCCATTGGTCTCTATTGTCACGCCAGGTGACAGAGACGTCGAGGCGGTCCCTGGCTGGGTTCTCATCAATGTCGCGGATGATACCCTCAGAGGCGTACTCGCCTGTGTAAGAGTACGTGGCGCCTGCTGTCAGAGAGCCCGCTTCGAACAGCCATTGATAAGATGCCCACAAAGTGTACTTCCATTCTGGAATGCGCTTCAGGTCATTGCCTTTCAGATTCTGCGCCAGGAACTCATCACGTCCCCCCGCTGCTGTGTCATTGAAGATCTGCACAGGGAAAGCTGGATTGTCGTCTTCCAGAACGAACAGGTCAGACTTGTATTCGGTCTTGGTGTAACTCACGTTGCCACCCAGGGTCAGCGCATCTGTTGGCAACCAGGTGAATTCTACCTCTACACCCATGTTCTCAACGTCATCGCTGTTCAGCACCTGGTCTTGAGCCAAGCCGGATGACGCATTGAAAATCTCGATGCGATCCTGGTAGTCATCATATTGGTACATGTAGACAGATGAATTGATCTGCAACTGGCCTTCGAGCAATGTGGCCTTGTAGCCTATTTCTGTTGCAAACACTTCTTCCTGGTCATAAGTCGAGGGCACAATGCCGCCGAAACCTGATGCGGAAGGCGCACGCGAGTCACCTATGCCCAAAGAGTATCCACCTGCCCGGTAACCGGTGGTCGCCGAGACGTAAACCAGTGTGTTTTCATTTGGCGTCCAATCAAGGTTCACACGGAAAGAGACATCACCCCAGTCGTCATCACCTTTTGCAGCATCGGCAAATGAGTATGGAATACCCTGCAGTCGCACAGGTGTAGTACAGGTTGTGTCTGTCAGATCACACACAGGTGTGAGTGGATTGGCCAGATCGCCTGAGAAGGTGCCGTTACCCATTGCAATGTTGGCGCCCGTGAGAGTGGTCCCGAATGCGGCTGGGTTTAATTCAAAGTAGCCGGTTCGATCTTCGAACGCTGCTTTTTCGTCTAATGCCCAACGAACACCCACGGTCAGGGCAAATTCTTCGTTAAAAGTGTATGTGCCCTGGGTGTAAACCGCGTAAGCATCCGTGTCGATTTCGTTCCAGTATTCGTACCAGGCGCCGGTAGGATCACCTTCCCAGCGACCAATAACCTGGGTGCCGACAGCTGCAGCGCCGCGTCGCGTATGTGTGGCCGGCAGGAAGGGATCAAAAGCGCCATAGTTGGCAGGGTTCAGGAAACGGCCCTGGCTTTCCACATCGCGGAACGCATAGTTTTGCACGCGATTGGCGTGGAAGTAGTACAGGCCGCTCGTTAACTGAAGGTTTTCACCGATCTGCCAGAGTAACTGTAACTCGTGAGAGTAGGTTTCTACGGATTCTGTAACGGTTTGTCGCGGTTGCGCAAAAGTGCCGTTGGTGTAGTCCAGGTCGATATCAAACAAATAGTCGAAATCAGACCAGCCACCGAGGTACTTGAGGGCTGTGGTTTCGCTCAGATCCCAGGTGAGATCAAACTGGATGCCGTTCTGATCGAAGGTTTCGAAGTTGTCGCCATTGTTGGCAACCTTTGCATTGAGATCTTCAATATCCGGATCTAACGCTAGGCCGAGACCACCGCGTCCGAATCCAGGGTTAGGCACAAACGAGTCAGCAATATCTACGCCAGGGCGATGATAGCCCCCATAAAGGGTTTCGCCGGTAACAGGGTGTGTGAATGGGATTGCGCCAGGGGTTGTTGCGTCAACCGGGCGGATGCCACGAGCGTAGTTTTCTGTGTTGCGTGCGGAGCGATCGCCAGCGACGCCTTCTGCCACGACCGAAGACATGCCAATAATGCGATCTGAAGATCGATCATTCCAGCGCACATTGGCTTCCCAGTTATCTGCGATATTCCATTGCAACGCAATTGAATAGTTAGAGTCGTGAATGCTGTTGATGTCTTCACTGCCGGCCAAGCCGCCTTGGGAACCATCGCGGTCGCGATTCACGCCGACAATTCGGTAAGCCAGTTTGTCATCGATGATGGGACCTGACAGAACGCCGTAGTATTCCTGCGCGCCAAGACTGCCGCCGAGTACCTTCAACTCACCTTCAAACTCGTAGGTGGGTTTGTTGGTGATGTAGTTCAACGCGCCGCCAATCGAGTTGCGTCCATACAGTGTGCCCTGGGGGCCGCGTAGTGCTTCGATCCGAGCGATGTCGTAAAGACCGTTCTCCGACGCGGCAATGCCGAAATCTTCGGAATAAACGCCGTTGTAGTAAGTAGCAACCCCCGGGTCACCGCCGACTGCACGGAAGTTGCGTCCCACACCACGAATACGAATATCGTAGGCATCGCGCGTGGTCGCTGGAATGAAATTGACAAGTTCGTCGGCGCCCTGAATGCCGAAGTCTGAGATCATATCTTCGCCAAAGGCGGTGATCGAGATTGACGTGTCTGAAACAGTAGACTCACGCTTCTCAGCGGTGACCACCATTTCTTCAATGACACGACGTTGTTCTTCAGCTAGGGCTTGATTGGCAAGCAGCATACACACAAGTGCAGCCCCGCCAGTGCGGAAATAAGACATGTATTTACCCCTCCGAGTGTTCGTACGTACAGCGATCTTCTAGAACATGTGCTGCCGTCGAATCCAGTTTAATGGAGTCGTTACGTATCCCCATACGCATCGACCACCTAAGGATTGACCATTTGTCCGACAGATGCAACTGCTCGTATATACGAAAAATGTTCGAAGAAAAGGGGCTTTTCGATGTGGAAAGGCAGTTACTAATGAGTACAAAGGGTACACAAAAGATGGTAGGCACGGTCAGATTCGAACTGACGACCCCTTGGATGTCGACCAAGTGCTCTAACCAACTGAGCTACGCGCCTAAAACCTAAAGAAAAAGGGTGCCGCATTCAGCTTGATGGCTGCCTGGGCGGCGCGTAGTTTAGCAACTCTGCTCAGCAGACCACAATAACTATTACCTTTATCCCTATTTAAGGTCGATGTCCTCAATCTGACCCAGGGTAACCTGCTCTATCTCGAACAGGGGGTCTGTTGCGATGACACTTGCATGGGCGGTGATGTCATCCTGTACAACACCCGCCTCGCCAAATAGCGCGATATGAAACAGAGCCTCGCCTTCGTATACCAGCGGTAAATTATTCATGCCAATGACTATCCCGTCGATGGTAGATGAAACACCTACTTCGGCGGAGGAAAAAGGCGAGGAGATAATGCCCAGCAGATCGCCAGTTTTCACCCTTGTGCCTAACTTAACCAGAGGTCGGAACATGCCGTCGCTGTTGGCGCGGAACCATTTACTGGAACGCGCAATATTGGGTTCGGTAGCTGCCGCCCGGTTGCGGCGGGCAGGTAACATACCCAGTCCGCGCATCGCGTTGGTAATGCCGCGGATACCCGTGACGATAGAGGTTTCTGATAAACGCAGGGCTTCTCCTGCCTCGTAGGTCAATACCGGGATGCCGCGCTCGCCGGCTTCCGCACGCAGCGTGCCTTCTATAAGACCGGCATTGATGATGACCGGAATCGAAAAGTCCATTGCCATCTTTTTAACTTCCGGGTTATCCAGGGCTGCGCGGATCTGCGGCAGATTGTCACGGTGAATGGCGGCTGTATGCAGATCAATAATATGGGTGCAGCGTGCGACGACGTCGGTGAAGAACAGATGCGCAACCCTCGACCCTAACGAACCACTTTCGCTGCCGGGGAAACAGCGGTTTAAATCCCGTCGATCGGGCAGATAGCGCGACTGATGAATAAAGCCATGCAGGTTAACGACCGGTACCAGTACCAGGGTGCCTTTTAATGACTTCAGCGTCTTTAGCGTGCGCAGTCTGCGAATGATCTCGATGCCGTTGAGTTCATCGCCGTGGATTCCGGCGCAAACCAACAAAGCCGGTCCTGGTCGCGAGCCGTGAATGACCTCCACGGTAAGGTCCAGTGGGGTGTGGGTATACAGGGCTGCCGCGGGAATATCGAACTGTAGTCGCTCTCCTGGGGCAATTTCCCGGCCTGCCATTTTAAAGGGTTCAGTCTTTACTTTGCTCATAGTGTTTCCGTTGGTAAAAAAAAGCTTGCAGGGCGAGCGGAAATGACGAGAATCGCGCCGCCATGAAAACCACCCTCAAATCTTTATTCAGCGTATTTCTGTCGCTGGCTATCCTACTGCTAGGTCACGGTCTGCAACAGACACTGCTGCCCCTGCACGCGCAGAATATTGGCTGGAGTCCTGCTGCGATCGGCCTGACTGGCGCCGCGTATTTTGGCGGCTTCATTCTGGGTTGTCTCTGTATGCCGCGATTGATTGCCAATGTAGGGCATATTCGAGTTTTCACAGTCTGCACCGCGCTGGCGATTGCAGCCATTCTGACCCTTGCAAAATGGCAATACCTGCCAGTCTGGATTGGTATGCGGATGGTCACCGGGGCCAGTTTGGCAGGTTTCTACATGATTATAGAAAGCTGGCTCAATGAAAATGCGACGGAACGCGCGCGCGGCAGCCTGTTATCTTTGTACGGATTTGTCTGTATAGGCGCCATGGCCTTGGGGCAGTTGTTGCTCACCGGCGGGGATGTTCTGCAGGGCGCAGCGTTGGCAGCCATCATTTTTGCGCTGGCCATTGTTCCCGTTGGCTTAACCACCAGCCCGCAGCCGGCAACACCAACACAGGTTGTGCTCAGCTTCCGGGTAGCCTACCAGGCCTCTCAGGTTGGATTGATCGCAGCGGCCATGTCGGGCTTTGTAATGGGGCTGATCTGGAGTAATGGTGCGGTTTTTGTCAGCCGGGTTGTGCTGGATGACCAGGTTGGGGTTACTTTTATCATGTGGGTGCTGCTGGGTGGACTGTTCTGTCAGCTGCCCCTGGGCCGTCTGTCGGATCATGTGGATCGGCGTTGGGTCATTCTGGGGACCAGCGTGTTGGCGTTTGTCTGCTCAACCAGCTGGGCATTATTCGGCTCGACAACACCATTACAGCTCTATGTGTTAGGTTTCATTGTGGGTGGCGCTGCGATGCCGCTCTATTCCCTCGGCGTAGCACATGCAAATGACAACGCGCGGGGAGCTTTTCTGGTGATTGCAGGGGCTTTGTTGCTGGCCAACGGTCTCGGTTCTATTGCTGGGCCATTGCTCTACGCAGGGCTCGTCTGGTTGCAGCTGGATAACCTGTTTTTTGTGATGATCGGCATTGCTTTTGCCCTGGCAGCAGCCTGGACAGCGGCACGCCTGGTCTTTCATGACGTGTCTCGCGATCACTATGAGCCTTACCAGATGGTACCGAAGACCACGATGGGCGCGGTAGATATGGACCCACGGGTGGCAAATTCTTCTGAGCTTGGTTAATAGAATTTTTTAGGAATATTGCAGTGAATGATCGCAAGAAACATCACCCCTCGATCGGCTGGCGCGAGCGTGTATCGCTACCGCAACTGGGCATTTTTGGTATCACCGCCAAGACTGACACGGGTGCGCGGTCATCCTGTCTGCATGCCTTCAGTGTTGAGGAATTCGAAAAAGACGGCGCCCCGTGGGTTCGTTTTGGCGTGCACCCGTCGCGGCGAAGTACCTTCGATGAGGTATGGTGTGAGGCTAAAGTCATCGACAAACGTCTGGTGAAAAACTCCGGTGGGATTGAGTCTCATCGCTATTTCATTGAAACCCAGCTGCAGTTAGGCGAGCGTGTCTGGAAAACCGAAATATCCCTGGCTGATCGCGAAACCATGGGTTATCGAATGTTGCTTGGCCGCACGGCTATTCGTAACCATTACCTTGTTAACCCGGGACGTTCGTTCCTGCAAAGTCGTCATAAAAAACGGAAAAGTTCATGAAAATCGCCATTCTGTCGCGAAACTCCCGTATTTATTCAACCGCACGTCTGGTGGAGGCGGCAAAAGCCCGCGGTCACGAAGTGCGTGTTTTAGATCACCTGCGCTGCTTCATGGACATCACCTCAGAAAAGCCTACTTTGCATTATCGTGACGAAGAATTTGATGCAGATCATTTTGACGCGATTATTCCTCGTATCGGTTCTTCGGTCACCTTCTATGGCTGTTCTGTGGTACGGCAGTTTGAAATGATGGGTGTGTACTGTGTCAATGAATCTGTTGCAATCACGCGCTCGAGAGACAAGTTGCGTTCGTTGCAGTTGTTGTCACGTCGTGGTGTGGGCATTCCGGTCACAGCGTTCGCCAACTCACCCGACGACATCAAAGGTTTAATCCGCGAAGTAGGCGGTCCGCCTCTGGTGATTAAACTGCTGGAAGGCACCCAGGGTATCGGTGTTGTGCTTGCAGAAACGCGCAATGCAGCCCAGAGCGTGATTCAAGGTTTCATGGGCTTGTCTGCCAACATCCTGGTGCAGGAATTCATTAAAGAAGCCGGTGGAAGTGATATCCGTTGTTTTGTAGTGGGTGGAAAAGTGATTGCCGCCATGCAGCGAACTGCACCGGAAGGGGAGTTCCGTTCCAATCTGCACAGAGGCGGCAGCGCTAAGGTGGTGCGTCTCAGCCCACAGGAGCGTCGTACCGCAGTTAATGCCGCTAAGATTATGGGCCTGAACGTTTGTGGTGTGGATCTGTTGCGCTCAGACCGGGGCCCACTGATTATGGAAGTGAACTCTTCGCCGGGTCTTAAAGGTATTGAGGAGGCGACAAACAAAAATGTCGCCAACCTCATTATCGAGTTTATTGAGAAAGAGGCACGCCCCAATCGAAACAAAACCCGCGGAAGAGGTTAAAACCTAGCTCCTTAGTTACCGCCCGCGCTGGCCGCTGCCTGGCGTTCAGCTTCTAACAGCCGCGCACCGCGCAGTATGCCACCCATGGAATAGTTGCCTTCGTGGCAGGCGTATTCAAATACTTTGTCGTCACTACTTCGCCAGATGTACTCACCGGACCAGGGTGCTGTCCACACGGACGGGTCTCTGACCGTGAAACTGTAGAGGAGATTGCCGTTTTCCTGCGGTGTGAATCGCTCGGTGACCTGCATGTTTTCACTACCGCCACGCCCCTGTCGGCTTGCGGCGATGAAATTACGCGACTCCACCACCAGGGTGTCTCCGTCCCAGCGGCCTATAGAGTCTCCAAGCCAGGATTTCATGCTGGCCGGGTTGTGTTCGCCGTTCATACGCACAACGCGCGCATCATGGACCATTTCAATCATGATCATGACATGCTCGTCGGTCTGCACGATGCGTTTGAAGTTATTGTAAAGGCTCGGGAAAGTTGGGGTTGCACCGGTGAATCCAACAATACAGCGTTCTGAAATGCCCAACGACTCGGGTCCATCGTAGGGGCCTCGATGATCAACATCGAGCCACCAGGCAGTGCCATCGTTCGGGCGCCGCAGTTTACCCCGTTCGCGGGCTGCAAAAAGCGCTTCTTCGGTCATCGGCGGCATTCTGCCGTTTGGCGGATCGATGATAATCGATGTGCGGAATTTACCGTCGACGGTGAATACGTCATCACCGGGATCCACCCAGAAGTTATTGTAACCACCAACGTTGCCAGCGCCGCTGGCTTCGCTGAATTCTTCACCGACACCCACTGGTGGGGCGCCACCTTCAGGTGGGGCTTCGGTAATTGGACCGCGGTTGCGGTCACGGTCAATGACGCGTTGCCGATTTTCCTCGACAATAGCGGCGGCCGCGTCGGGCGTCAGATAGCGGTTGTCGCCGAATTCTTCTGGCCGTTGAAAAGGCGTAAGGGTGGACACGTCGTAGGTGCCCGAAAGATCAGGTTTACCGCTGGCAGTGCGTTTGATGCCATCGGCTGTGGCCACAGTACTGGTCAGTAGCGTCACCGACGCCGTGAGTAATGCTGCCGCGAATGCAATCCGGGTGGTGCTGGCCGTGTTCATGTTTCTCCCCTTTATGAATGGTGCCAGTCCCTACTATAACGCCTTTTGTCGTTATGCGTGTTTTTTGCAAAGCTGTTGTTGCCTGCGGCAGGCTTGCGTACAGTCTTGGCTTCTTATCTGAATACAGAAAAATTTAAGGGCAGGAGTTATGAGTAACGAAATGGGTGTCACCTTTGGCAGTCTTGGTGTCCTTGGCCCACGCGCAGTTATAGATGTGGCGCAGATGGCTCAGCAAATGGGCTACCGTTCACTGTGGACTGTAGAGGCGACCGGTACCGATGCTATTTCGTTGCTGGGTGCTGTCTCAGCGGTTGCGCCCACACTTGACCTGGCAACTGGCATTATCCCGATTGCTGTGCGCACGCCACCGCTCGCAGCCATGTCTGCAGCTACCCTGCAGGCATTAAGCCCGGATGCAGATGTGTGGTTAGGCCTGGGTGTGTCAGCACCGGGCATTCTGGCTCAACACGGCGCGTCTCCGCCTGATCGACCCATTGCGAGAATGCGAGAGTATGTTGCTTTGCTGCGTGAATGCCTGTCTGGCGAAGCGGTGACTTTTGAAGGCGATTTCTGGTCGGTGAAACGGTTCAGGTTAGGCATGCGACTGGGTGAGCGAAAGCCAAAAATTGTGCTGGCCGCATTAGGGCCGCAGATGTTGAAGCTGGCCGGGGAAATTGCTGACGGCGTTTTGCTGAACTACATTCCCGTCAGTCATGTGGGGCCCTCTATTGCCCAGGTGCGTGCCGGGGGTAACGCTAAAATATTTGCCTATGTACATGCGTCGGTCACAGAATTTGAGCGTGGTGCCAGGTCAGCACGCAAGGACCTGTTCAACTATGCCATGGCAGATGGATACGCAAACATGTTTCGTGCTGCAGGATTTTCTGACGAGGTGGATCAGCTGCGTGCCTGTCACGCGCAAAAGGACAGGGACGGTGCATTAGCAGCGATATCGGAACAGATGATTCAAGCCATCAACTTTATCGGCGATAAGACCGAAGTGACCGCCTTTACCCGAAGTTATATAGATGCCGGCGTTGAGCACCCGGTACTGATGCCGATGCCCTGGGCAGATGACCGCTGGCAGGTCACCGAGCAGACCATGAGTGCCGCCATCGCGGCGCTCTAGGCCAACACAAAACTTTGCACAAATACTTCATCAGGAGAAAAACATGGCCCAAGCCAAAGTGGTTCAATCAATAAAAGCCAATGCCGACGATGTCTGGCAAATTCTTGGAAACTTCAAAAGCATTCAGCCCGGACCAGGCATTGATTCAGTGGTTTACGAAGGTGAGGGTGTAGGCATGACGCGCACTATTTCCACGCCGAACGGTGATGTTGTGGAGCGACTGGATGTCTATGAGCCTTCAGCCCGGCAGTTTGCGTATGCGATAACTAACGGTGGTGGTCCGCTGCCTTTTGCCGACTATAGTGCTGTGGTGGCGGTGAACGATAATGACGACGGCACAACAACCGTTGAATGGACGGGTACTTTTGAACCGCGTGGAGTGGATGAGGAAACGGCGGTTAAATTCGCCACTGGTATTTATACGCGCGCCATTGATGGCGCGCGCACGGTGCTGGAAGGCTAACCTAGTTTTTCGATAACGTCGCCAAAGAGCTGTTCGTCAGAGGTCAGCTCTTTGTTTTGTGGCAGCGGTCTGGATACCCAGGTTTCGTTGATCAGGTCGCGCCAGGAAATATTGTGATTGGTGCCATTGCCACCCCAGGAGCCACAACCCAGGGAAAAGGTCTGGCGCATGCCATTCCACAGGTTGCCACTGTTGGAGGCGGCCTGGGGCTGGTTGACCATCACCCGTGAGGTTTTGGTCGCTTCCGCCAGTTTCATGATATTGGCGTCGCTGGTGGAGTAGATGCCACACGAATGTCCCTGTCCCTGATAACCCTGAATGTGGTTGGTCAGCTCAATAGCATGATCAATGTCCCGCGCATGGTACAAAGCCATCACAACTGACAGTTTCTCTCCTGAAAAGGGATAGTCGGGGCCCCAGCCGGTTTCCGGCACAATAAAAAATTCTGTATTTTCGGGGATAGTGATGCCGGCTTTGGCTGCAATAACTTCTGCAGGTTGGGCAACAATATCGGTATTCAGATGTCCTTCATTATCCCAGAGCGTCTGTTGCAACAGCGCTTTTTCTGCATCGTTCACAACATAGCCGCCTTTGGCCTGAAGTTTTTCAAGCATGGCGTCATAGATGTCATTGTGCAGAATGACGGAATTATCGGACGAACAGGAAGCTGCCAGGTCGAGGGTTTTAGACATGTGAATTTTTTCTGCAGCGTCATCCAGGTCCGCAGTATCGTCAACAGTAATCACGGCGTTACCTACGCCAACACCTAACGCGGGTGTTCCGCTTGAATACGCAGCCGTTACCATGGCGCCGCCACCGGTGGCCAGCACGCGATCACACTGTCGCATCAGTTCGTTGGTCAGCTCGAGGCTGGGGGTTTCGATGGCGATCACCAGATCCGCCGGTGCGCCCATTTTTACCAGCGCCTCGCGCATCAGGTCACAGATCTTCTTGTTGGTCAGTTTCGCCCGCGGGTGTGGCGCCACAATAATAGCGTTGCGACCTTTGACCGCGTGAATCGCTTTGATGACCGGTGTGGCTTCAGGATTGGTTGACGGTGACAGTGCTCCGATAACCCCCATGGGTTTGGCAATTTTCACAATGGCCCGCTCGGGGTCTTCTTCCAGAATGCCGACAGATTTGTCATCGATGATGTCCATCAGGGTGGCTCGGGTTTTACGCTGTATTTTCAGGAACTTACCGGCGTAATTGCCTAACTGGGTTTCATCAACGGTGAACTGAGCAATTTCTTCCGCAACACCCGGGCGGGCCACGGCCCAGACCATGGCGCGGATCAGGTTGTCTACCTGCTCCTGGGTATAATGTTCAATCTGCTCTTGCGCGGCGTGCGAGCGAGCAACGAGAGCGGCGATCTCTTCTGCAGCGCTGGATTCGGTGTTGATTGCCTGTTCGGCCATGTCTAAGTCTCCGGGGAATTTCAGCGTGTTATGTTACACAAAGTTGAATGCGACATCGCCGATAAAAATGCCGTCGCGTTTGTTGCTCCACAGTCCTAACTCCTGTGCCCGGATTGTCATCAGCTGGGGCTCCGGGCAGGAAAAAGTGATGCCGGTAATACCCAGGTCTGCAGCGGCTGGTGAGAAGCGGATAAAGGTCTGGTCAGAGAAAACCAATGCATAGCGGCCATCTGGCTGAGTAACCACAGGGGTAGACATGACTTCTCCCCATCGATTCGCAAGGTTTTCAGGCTCAGGATGTTGCAGCTCGCAGCCCAGTAAACGGGTAACGTCTGTGGCGCGTTGTGCGCGCCAGTCTGGACCCGCCCACAGCCAATCTGCTGCTGGGCGCATTTCGTCAAAGGAGACGATGGCGCCACCGATATCTTTTGGATGGACATGACAGGCAGATACCTCTGGACGTTCAACCTGCCAGATCGAGCGCACGTTCTGTTGGGTTAGATGTTGTGCGGTTTTGGCAAAGTCTTCGATCTGCATCAGGACCATATAGCCACAGGTGTCCTGACGTTTACCAAGCAGACGACCGGCGGAGGTGTTGTCCTGAGTGGGGGCAACAATCTCTAAGAAGCTGTTGCCAATGGACATGACAGAGTTTTCCAGACCGAACTCCGCAACCCCCGGGTCGGCATAGTCAGCTGTAATGCCAAGCATGCTGAACAGCTGTGTGCGTGTTGGATTGAGCGTTTCAGCCGCAATGGCTACCTGGCGTAATTTCATGCGTGGTTCCGCGGTTAAATTTCAGCCCTACGGAACCACGGCTACTAGTTGAAAACAAGCTAATTGTGGTGCGGTGGGGTTTCACCAGAACTATTTCGCGTGTTGGCTGATGCGGCCTTAATTTCGATAGGCCGGTCGCGCTCCAGCGCTTCGCAGGCTTCACGTTTGAGCTCCGCGGCTACACTCCGAAGCTCTCCCAGGTCTCTGGGTTTGAAGGCATTTTTTTGCGCAGCTAACTCCACCAGATCACTCCCGATGGTGTCGTTTACATGCGCCAAATATCCCTTTAAAAGCTTACGATAACCCATGACTTATATGCGATGACTTCCTCCCCATCGTGCTGTCACGCTAACCCTATCTCTTGACAGTTTCATGACGTCTTAGTGTCTGTAAACCTTCCCTTTGCGTGTCATAAATTTGTAATGAAAACGAAATGTCTGGGTCATAAAGCGGAACTATCTTGCCAGCTGGACGTTGGGGCTAACCTCGGCGAATCAGGTGCAACGACATAAAACTCTCTGGGGGAGTTCATGATATCCAATAGTTTGGTTCGGACACTGCGTCAGGCAGTGTTCCTTGTTTTAGGATCTCTGGTTCTGGTGGCGTGTGGAGGCGGTTCCGATAACGCTTCACCCGGATCCGTTGTGGTGGAAGTGCCAGTGGAATGTGACGATTGCGGTGGTGGTGATGATGGGGGTGGTGGTGATGGGGGTGGCACCGGTGGCGGTGGTCAAACCAATCCCAGTACCATTCCTGCAGCGCTGAATTCGGTGATCACCGACAGTGGCACAACCGCTTCAACATCTTTTAACAATCTACCGATCTTTACCATCGACGTGACCGCGTTAACAGGTGGTGCCTTGGATCCTACAGGGCTGATACTGGGTAACGACGCCATTTATCAGATCTCTGGCGGCGCTTTGCGAGTTACGGCGCCAAGTACCGGTGCAGCTTGCGCATTCAATCTCGAGCCCGGCGCCATTGTTGTTGGCGCCAGTGCCACGGACTTTCTGGTGATCAGCCAAGGCTGTCAGATCGTTGCTGATGGTACTTCGGATCAGCCGATTATCTTTACCGCCCTCGAAGAGGTCACCGGTAACGTTGAAACCTCAGACCGCGGCCTTTGGGGTGGCGTGGTGATCAACGGTTTTGCGCCCATTAATGACTGTCCCGCTGGTGAAACCGGCGGCACGGCAGGTTGTACCAAGGAAGGTGAAGCCAACTCCGGTCTCTTCGGCGGTGATGATCCCAATGACAATTCGGGTATTCTGCGTTACGTCAGCGTGCGTTATGCAGGTTCGAACGTTGATCCTCAGAATCAGCTGAACGGCATTGCCTTTCAGGCCGTTGGTGACGCCACGGTTGTTGAATACGTTCAGGTGCATAACAACCTGGACGACGGCATTGAGTTTTTCGGTGGTACGGTAAACGCCAAATATATTGTCCTGACGGGCAACGACGACGACAGCCTGGATTGGACAGACGGTTGGGTGGGTAATCTTCAGTACCTGTATATCGAACAGACCGATGGTGGAGATAACGCCATCGAAGCAGATAACCGCAGTGATGAAGAAGACGCGCTGCCACGTTCGAGTCCGACCATCGCAAACATGACGGTCATCGGAAAATCTGACGAGCGTGCTCTGCGCTTCCGCGCGGGTACGGCGGTGACCTTGTATAACAGCTTTGTTGACGGCTCTGAACGCTGTATCCGTGTTGACGGTACCTCGCGTGATTTCCTGGGCGCAGCAAGTGACCCGGCAATCACAATTGGTGGTGTCAGTTTCGCGTGTGCGCAAACGCACGATGGAGATACGGATGGTGCGGTTGCCGCTTACTTGAGCAGCGCCACCAACGTGTCGCAGACAGGTGAGCAGGTTGATCCCATCAACATCGCGGACACTTTCTTCGAAAACACAGATTATCTGGGCGCTTTCGGGTCTGAGAACTGGGCGGATGGTTGGACTTTGGAAGGTTCGGTCAGTCAAACCACTCAGCCTGACTTTGGTTGTCCTGACGGCACCACGACATCGTCTCGCACCATTGATGGCCAGCGTATCTGCCAGCTGAGCGGCGACATAACCAGCAGTTTGTTGTTGACCTCAAACAACCTCTATGAGCTGGTGGGCAAGGTCACCATTGGCGGCGACAATGTCGACTCGGCTGACCTCAGCATCCAGGCTGGTACTACCATCTTTGGCGGCACCGATGTGGACTTCCTGGTCATTTCACGGGGTTCCCGCATTCTTGCAAACGGTACGCGTACTGCGCCAGTTACCTTCACCAGTCAGTCTGACGTCGAAGGCACCGTGCTTGCGACGGATAGAGGCCTTTGGGGCGGGGTGGTGATCAACGGTAACGCGCCGATCAATGAATGTCCCGCTGGCATCGACGGCGGCAGCGCTGCTTGTACAAAAGAAGGCGAAGCCAACTCCGGACTGTTTGGCGGCGATGTTGCTGATGATGACAGCGGTCGTCTGAACTATGTGGTTGTTAAATACGCAGGGTCTAACGTTGACCCGCAGAATCAGCTGAACGGTATTGCTTTCCAGGGTGTGGGCAGCGCAACCGAAGTCGATTTTGTACAGGTGCATAACAATCTGGATGATGGCATTGAGTTTTTCGGCGGCACGGTGAGCGCGCGTCACGTAATTTTGACGGGCAACGCGGACGACTCACTTGATTGGACCGATGGCTGGGTAGGTAAAATTCAATACCTGATCATCAACCAGACCGATGCCGGTGACAGTGGTATCGAGGCGGATAACCGTTCCGATGACCCAGGCGTAACACCTGTCTCGCTGCCAAAAATTGCAAATATGTCGATCAATGGTATCGCCGCGTCTCGAGCCGTTCGCATACGTGCAGGTTCCGGTCTGGAGCTCTACAACAGCACCGTGCAGGGTAATGATCTCTGCTTTGTGGTTGAAAGTGCTGAGTCCCTGGCGCTGTTAGGTACGGGCATCCAGTTAGGGGGTGTCAGCCTTGACTGTGTTGATCCATTAGATGCGGCCGTACAGGCCGAAATCGACGCCAGCGAAAACGTCAGCACCGATGGGACCCTGGTCAGTGCAGTGGATCTGTCAGCGGATGACTTCTTCGATAACACCACATTTGTTGGCGCCATCGAGAACGTTGACGAAGACTGGACCACCGGCTGGGCTTTCGGCATGCCGGATGCAAGCGGTGTGTTTGGTTGTCCCGTGGGCACCACTGAAATCGCGGCCATTGATGGCACCACAACAACGTGTAGCCTGGCTGGCACCTATACCACAGACCTTGTATTACCGCGTAACAACATCTACGTTCTAGACGGTGCGGTGACCATTGGTGGAGACAATACGGATTCTGCAATCTTAGATATCCAGTCGGGTACAGAGATTGTCGGTGATGATCCGGTAGACTTCCTGGTGATTTCTCGCGGTTCTCAGATTCTGGCTCGGGGTACACAGAATGCGCCTGTCACGTTTACAGCAGCTGATGACATCCTTGGTAACATTGCGAACCCAACTACAACTCAGGGTTTGTGGGGCGGTCTTGTGATCAACGGTAATGCGCCTATAAACGATTGCCCAGCTGGAATCGATGGCGGCACCGCAGGATGTACGAAGGAAGGTGAAGCCAATTCCGGTACCTTCGGTGGCGATGATCCGTTAGATAACAGCGGTGTGCTCAACTATGTGGTCGTGAAGTTTGCGGGTTCAAACGTAGATCCACAGAACCAGTTGAACGGTATTGCATTCCAGGGCGTAGGCTCCGGCACCGAAGTGGATTACATTCAGGTGTTCAACAACCTGGATGATGGCATCGAATTCTTCGGCGGTACGGTCAATGCCTCACATGTGGTATTGATTGGTAACGCGGATGACAGTCTGGATTGGACCGATGGTTGGGTAGGCTCTCTGCAGTATCTGCACATTGAGCAGACCGCGGGCGGTGACAACAGCATTGAAGCGGACAACCGCGAAGATGATGAATTGGCGACACCCATCTCCGAGCCAACTATCGCAAACATGACAATCATCGGTGATGACACACAGCGAGCAATTCGATTGCGCCTGGGCACGGGGTTGCAGCTTTATAACTCGCAAGTCACTGGTAGCGACCGCTGCTTCGAAGTGTCAGGCACATCCCTGAACTATCTGGGGTCTCGCATCACTTTGAACGGGGTTAGTCTTGGCTGTCCCACAATTGTTGATGGTGGTGATGCCAGCGTTCAGGCATTCCTGGATGGTTCAGCCAATGTCACTCAGGACGGCACCGCGCCAACCCCTGTGACCCTGCCGGCAGGTCTGGATCCAGCAGGTGACAGCATAGTCGGTTCAGACATCAGTGAGTGGGGTCAAGGTTGGACCGTAGGTGTGCCAGCATTGAGCGGTAACTAGGCCCGAGCAGTTCGAGGCGCCAGGTGGTTAAATCCCACCTGGCGCTTTGCTGCTTCTAACACCAAATATTAGGTGAAGAAATGATTCGAAAAATGTTTTGGGCCACTGCAGGTGTAATTGCGTTGGCTAACTCCGCAGCTGCGGAAGAATCCATAGGTATTGCGCCACCTGGGGTCATGGAAGAAGTGATTGTGCTGGGTAAATTCATCCCGGATGAAAAGCGTACAACTTCTGAGATATCCAATGTACTGGATGAGGAAGCACTTGGCTTGCTGGCAGACAACAGCGTTGGTGAGGCTCTGAGCAGAGTTACGGGTCTGTCGCTGGTTGGTGGCAAGTATGTTTATGTGCGGGGTCTCGGTGAACGATACTCATCTACGCTGTTAGATGGCTCACGCATTTCGTCGCCGGTTCCGTTTCAGAAGACGGTGCCTTTGGACATCGTCCCGAAAAGTATTGTGCGAAATCTGTTAGTACAAAAAACCTATTCAGCTCAATACCCGGGCGACTTCAGCGGCGGTGTTGTAGATATTCGCACTCGCACAACGCCGGAAGAAAACTTTCTCGATTTGTCGTTCTCTATCGGTGGGAATTCTGAAACCACAGGCGGCGACGGCTTGAAATACTCGGGTGGGTCAAGCGACAACTGGGGTATGGATGATGGCACCCGTCACATACCGGAAAACATAGCCTTGTTGTCGAGCGACAATTTTGAAGACATCGGTTTTCCGGAAGATCGTGCTCTTGGGGCCAGCTTTTTCAATAACTGGGATATTCGAGAATTTGAAATCAAGCCCGATTTTTCAGGCGATGCAGAAATGGGTTATCGATACGATCTGGCCAATGGCATGTCGATTGGTTTGTTAGCCGCAGGCAAATACGACAATCAGTATCGGCAAACGGATGTTGAATTTGCCCGCTATAACTTTACCGGCGCTGCGGTAAATCAATTACTCGATTACGAGCGGGAAACCACTCGGCAAACAGTCACGATGAGTGGCTTTCTGAATGTCGGTTTCGAGCTTAACAATGACAATGCCATTAGTGTCACACACGTACTGTTGCGTCAGACTGATGATGAGGTTCAGCAAGAGCGTGGTGTTTCGAGTGAGTTCGGATTCTCCTTTACGCCCGTAGAGAATATTCTTCTGCAATGGACCGAAAATGAAATTCGTTCCACCTCTATAAAAGGCGAGCACTATTTCAACATCGGCGAAGCGGTTAATGGCGCTTTGTTGAACTGGCGGTATGTAGATGGCTCCGGGTTGCGTGAATCGCCGGATACGCGCAGCTATACCTACTTCGAAGAAAACGGTCTGCAGAATGTATCCGATTCATTTACCCAGCTGGATGCCAAAAACATCTTTATCGCGCCAGAGCGTCAGTATCAGAAGCTGAAAGATGACATTGAGGAGTATGGCTTTGATCTGGAATTACCCTTTCTTTTCGGTAATGTGGATTTTGTTGTCAGAACCGGTTACTCAGATTATGAAAGATCACGCATCTCCGAGGATCGACTGTTTCGTTTCGATCTGACCAATACTGCACCTGATTTTGTTCGTCTGCAGACACCTAACCAGCTGTTCGGTTTGGATAACTGGGGCTCAGGCTATCTCGACGTCGATGATTTTTCCGGTCGAGCTGCTGATTCGAGCGGCATTTTCCCGTTTGCTGAATCCAGTGAAGAAACGACCGGTTATTACCTCGCATTTGACGCTCAGGTAACGGATCGAATTCGCCTTCAAGCGGGCGTGCGCAAGGAAGACACAACGCTTGAAGCCGATGCATCTGGCGGCAACACACTGCCCGGTACGTTGAATCAGGTCTCGAACGATTATGATGATACTCTCCCGTCGGGGTCGGTCACGTTTGAGTTTGTCAACGATATGCAGCTGCGGCTTGCCTATTCTGAGACTGTCAATCGCCCCAGTCTGCTGGAAATTACCGGTTCAACCTTCCGCAATCCTGAAGATGGACAACTGTATCGCGGTAACGTGTTCCTCGAGCCTGCGCAGTTGAACAATTACGATCTGCGTTGGGAGTGGTATTTTGGTGAAGCAGACAGTGTTTCCGTTGGTGTCTTCATGAAAGAGTTTGATGAGCCCATTGAGCTGGGTCGGATCGAAGCTGAAAACGAGATTTACACCTGGTACAACGCGGAAGAAGCGGATCTTGAAGGGGTTGAACTTGAGTTTCGCAAAGATCTCTTTTTTGATCGTTGGTTCGATTGGGGGCCGGATTGGGATCTGTTCACCTTGACAGCGAATGTCTCGTTCATTGACTCGGAAGTGACTCTGTTCGGGCCTGGTGAAACTGCGGCTGATGTGCCACTTACGGGTGGCCGTGGGCTGGACTCGGTATTCGAAAACAAGCGTCAGTTAACTGGACAGTCCGATCTGCTGGGTAACCTGATGATCAGCTACTCGAATTACGAAACCGGTATAGAAGGGTCCCTGGCATACAATTATACCGGTGAGCGTATCGCGCTGGTTGGCGCTGTGAATGCGCCGGATGTGATAGAAGAGGCGTTTGGCAAACTCGACTTTCTGCTGAAGTACAATTTTGTCATGTGGCAAACCGACTTAGAGCTTGAATTTAAGCTCCAGAATCTGCTGGATGCAGACGTTGAGTGGACTCAGGGCGGCCGGGTTTATGAAAAATATCGACCGGGCGTAAACTACAGCCTCGGCATTAAAATGAGCCTGTGAATTCATAATTCTGTCACATAGCGGCCACATAATGCCCGCATGAGAAAGACAGCCCTGATTACAGTTGCTTTGCTGGCCATCTCCGGATGCGCAAGCCAGACACCGACCTTCTCCTGGTACCACCCGATGGGTGGCGAATACCTGTTTTCCTTCGATGCCGGTGAATGTACCGAAATTGTTGCGCAGCAGGGTCAGCAACTTGGTGTCGATACTCAAGGCCCGTTTTTCCAGTGTATGCACAGTCGCGGCTATTATCTTGTTGATGCCCAGGGCATTGTGCAGGCACCTGAAGAGGTTGTGCTTGCAGAAGGACCGCAGATTTCACAACAGTAGCGTCGTCTGCTGGCCCGTTCTAAAAGTTTTTGCTGACTGCCCCCGTGTTCGAGTTGTACTCAAACGACAGCGTCGGCGCATCGGTAAACGTATAGCGGCAAACCCCACCCCCTAGATAAGCCGGTTGCACATCTGCGTCGCTGGTCAAAGCAATCGTTACGCTGCCCTGTAAAAGGGCGTTTGATATCGATATGCAGTCAGCGACATTGTTCAGGCTGGGATTGGCTTCAATCCCCCCAAACCATTGTTGCGATGGCCAGCCGTTGGCGTTGAAATCGATCTGACCATCTGTGCCAGGACCAAACACCGGGAGATTTTCAGCGGGGCGACCACCTGCCTGCAGCTGCCAGACAGAATGGGCGAGTTGGGCGCTGGATTGCAAAGCCGCAACCGTCGCTTCCGCACGCGCTAAGCGCGCATCGTCATCGATGTTGATGAAGCGTGGCAGTGCCACAGCGGCAAGTATGGCGATTAACAAAATGACCACGACCAACTCCACTAAGGTAAACCCCAGCGTCATAAAGCGGACCATTTGCTGACTTTTACTCGCCATACCGCAAGTTTAGGCCAGAAATGGCGTGCTGCCTGTTTTCTGACCGCTCTGGGTTGGCGTTTGCTCAAATAGTCCTCGTTTTCGAACCTTGCTGGGTTAAGCTCCGAGGCTGAGGCAATGGGGAAGAGAGAACATAAATGACACAAAGAGTAGATCTGGGTGGCAAACCAACGGGTCCGCTGGCCGGCGTGCGAGTGATTGATTTTACCGCGGTTTATTCCGGTCCGATCGCCGCTTCGATCCTGGGAGATCAGGGTGCGCAGGTGATCAAAGTTGAATCCGCTGCAGGCGACCTGATGCGCCGCGGGCTACCCAAAAGTAATGGCCTGGGTGGCGCGTTTGCGGCTATGAATCGCAACAAAAAATCCGTCTGTCTAAATCTGCAAACTGATGCAGGACGCGAGATTGCCCGTCAATTGGTCAGCACCGCAGATGTGGTAATGGAAAATTTCCGCCCCGGCGTCATGGACAGGTTGGGTATTGGTTATGACAGCTTTAAAGCTGAACAACCTAAACTGGTTTACGTGTCGATTAATGGTGTTGGTTCAGTGGGGCCGTATGCCAACCGACGCGTATACGACGCTGTGATTCAGGCTATTTCCGGTTTCACAACGCTGCAACCGGAAGGTGATCCGGCCATGGTCAACTCGCTGGTTTGTGACAAAGTGACCTCGCTGACTGCTGCCCAGGCAGTGACGGCTGCACTGTTCCAGGCTGAACGTTCAGGTCAGGGCCAGCGGGTAGAGCTGTCTATGCTCGATGCCAATCTCTACTTCCTGTGGCCTGATGTGATGACCAATTTCACTTTTATGGACCCGGGAGTAGAAAAAATTCCATATCTCGACCACAGCCTGTTCCTGCGCCGCACCCTTGATGGCTGGATAGCGGTGATGCCGGTGCAACAGGCTGAACTGCTGGGTGCTTTCCGCGCTCTTGGAGTTGAGCATCTGATTGATGACGAACGCTTCAACACATTTGAAGCGCGCGCGCGCAATCGCACGCTGATGAAGCAGCTCATGGATGAAGCGTACGCAAAGTTCTCTACGGACGAATTGGTGGAGCGCATGGAAGCAAACGATGTGCCGTACTCGCGCGTGAACATGCGTGACGAAGTTGTGGATGATCCGCAAATACAGGCCATGCAGGCTTTGTGGCGCTATGAACATCCGCTCGCGGGTGAGGTTCGATCGCCGCGGCCCCCTGCGCAGTTTGAACGCACCCCCAGTAATGTACATGCGCACACGCCGGGGCTGGGTGAGCACAATGCGGAAATTCTGGCTGAGCTGGGCATAGAAAAGGCGCGTATTTCTCAGCTTTACGATGAGGGTGTGCTGTATGATGACGCCGCTGAAAACTCCTCTCCCTAAGGCTCCTTTATGTCGTTCTTTTATCCTTTGAACATCACGACCTCGCTGGCGGCAACGTTTCTGCGCGGGGGTGCCGGCGTATCTGCCCGGCCTGCGTCCAGTATGCCGGCTCAGTTGTTGAAACTGTACGAGTTCGAAGGCTGCCCGCACTGCCGACTGGTGCGTGAAGTGCTCACGGAGCTGGATATCGATGCGTTGATCCTGCCCTGTCCCAAAGGTGGGCATCGTTATCGAGATGAAGTCATTGAACAAGGCGGCAAAGCACAGTTTCCCTATCTGGTTGATCCGAATACAGACGTCCGTATGTATGAATCGTCGGATATCATCGATTATCTGTTTGCGACCTATGCGGGTCGTCCTAAACCCTGGCACTGGCAGGCCATAGAGCTTCAGCGCTTCAGTTCTGTACTGGCTGCTGTGCCTCGAATGGGCCAGGGTGTGGTGGTGAAAAACTCCAGAGCACCAGCACAACCTCTGGAGCTTTATAGTTTTGAGTCGAGCCCTTTTGCGCGCCCGGTGCGAGATCTGTTGTGTGAGATGGAACTGCCTTACATCCTGCGATCCGTTGGTCGCGCGCGTTTGGCAGATTGGGTGCCGCCGGCAATGCGCAAGGCCCAAACTGAACAGGCCGAACCGGCCACTCGTAACCGGCAGGCTCTGCAGGCGAGGGTAGGGCTTATTTCGATTCCCTACCTGGTGGATCCCAACACAGGTGTTGAGTTAGCAGAGTCGTCCGACATTCTGGATTATCTACAGAAAACCTACGCGCGCTAGATGCTTTGGCCAGCAGTTTGGAACGGCCAGCTGGTTTTCACATAAGAAATACAAGCCCCAGAAAAACGAGCAGGCCGCCGCCCATAGTGGCAACCGTTTTGTTGCGTAAACCTTTAGACGATAGACCCAGCCAGGCGCCGCTGAGCAGCACAAACAGCAGGGCTGCCGCCATAATTTTCTGAAATTCTTTGAACAGCACAGGTCCATGACCTTTGTGTAATTCGATCAGGCGTTTCTGCAAGCTGGGTACGTTTCTGCTGATTCCAACGCCGTCCGCAGTTGCTTCTATGACGTAGTAGGTTCTGGACGTTGGACGTGTTGTCAGAGTATTGCCTCCGGCACGCAGGTATTCAAAATTGTGGGTGATACCCGCATCGGCAAGCAGACGGCTGACGTCCTGTTCCAGGGTCGCAGAGTTGAGGTCCAGAGAGGCCCCAGCGGGTGCTGGTATCGTGATTTCTTCAACGCTACCTTTTATATCAAGCAGGTACAGGCCACCGGATGTGGCGATAACGACCAGCACCGGTGCAAAAAAAGCGGCTGCGAAAAGGTGGGCTTTTATCCAGAAGCTGCGATTCATGTTGTGTTCTCAGAAGTAAGTCAGATGGGCGGACGCCCATCTTAGACCAGAACGGAAAAGATCAGAACGTGAACCTGACGCCAACCGATGCTGTCGTATCTTTGTTAGGTCGGGCGCCGTAGGGTTGGCGGCCTAAGATGTCTTCTTCACCGGTGAGGTTTTCTACCCGGGCAAACAATTCGGTGGCTTGATTGAGGTTGTAGCTGCCTGAAAGGTCAACACTCAGGGTGCTGTCGGTCTTTTCAAAGGCGCCGCAGGATGCGCGCACACAGACTTCATCCACATAGTTTGCGGCCAGGTAGATGTCCCAATCGCTGCCGACTAAACCAAGTGACACATTCAGCTGGTTTTCCGGGATGTAAGGAATGGGGTCACCTTTGCTCACATCGCCAAAAAAGTCGGTGTTGCCAATGTCCGTATCGAATTTGCTGTCGATGAAGGTGTAGGCGAGTGCCAGGGGTATCGCAATCTCACCTGTCGGGTTCAGGTTTGTACCCAACAGCATCTCGAAACCCTGCACGGTGACAGCATCACCATTAAAGGCGTCACCTATTTCGCAGTCTGAGCCGGATGAGGCGGTACATTCGCCTAACAAGTTATCGTAGTCGCTTAAGAAGTAGGCAGCTTCAACGCGTAAATTGTTATCGCCGAAGCGTACGCCGATTTCGTAGTTGATGGCTTCTTCTTCATCCACGCCAGGTGCATTGCTTGGTGCGGTGAACCCTTTGTGGATGCCGGCAAACACGCTCAGCTCATCGTTGACGCTGTAGATGACACCCATGCCGGGTAGCCACACAGTGGTGTCATTCGAACGTTTGTCCCGCAGATTGTCAGCACTGCGTGAAGCTGGGTCCAGTGTGCTGCCAGGACGTATCTCCCAGCGTGTGCGTTCCTGTTCGATGTCTTCAAAACGCAACCCTGGGGTCAGCGTCCAGTTGCCAATTTCAATGCGGTCGTAGATATGTATGGCAAGCGCCTGCGCTTCCTGAACGCGATTACCGGCATTGCCTAATAAACCAATATCATCGCGGACCAGCTGGCCAGATATCTGGCTATAGCTGCTGTTACGTTGCAGGCGGTCTTCTTCGTCTTCGTGAATGCGTAAGCCAACTTCTATGGAGTGAGACCAGTCACCGATCAAGACATTCCAATCCAGACCGAGCTGGATACCGCGCGAAAAATATTCGCGGTCGTTGGCGCGCAGTTGCAGACTTCCGGCGGGTGTATCAATGCTGCCGTCCAGAATGCCCTGTAACTGATCGCTGTCCAGACCGCCGAGGGCTTCGCCACTGTTCACCGCCTGTACAACATCAAACCAGCTGGTGCGGGAGAAACTTTCTGCATCTGCTGAGCCGTCGAAATCGATGCCTTCAGTTTTAAACCAGCTTCGCTCATGGGTGTTGTTGTAAGCCGTGGCGTCGAAATTCAAACGGTCACTGATATCCCATTCGTAACGTAATATGACCTGTTCATGCTGGGTGGCTATGTTATCCAAGGCAGACAAGCCGTAACGACGGAATGCATCGTCACGAAAGTCATCATCGGTGAGACCGAGGTAAGTCTGATCTGAATCCTGTTCAGCGTACTGTAACTTCAGTTCTACGCGGTGATTAGCGTTATCCGGTGCGTAACTCAATTTAACGGTGTAGTCCTCTACGTCCAGGCCGGTATCACCGCCTCTGTCGATAGACTGGAATCCATCTGACTGCCACTGATGAGTTTCCACAAGATAGCCAAATCCGGCATCGTTGCGCGCGCCATAATGAGCATGCAAACGATAGGTTGCATCTTCTCCGGCCTCCAGGGTGACTCTGCCGCTGGCGATCTCAGGTATCGGCACAGAGATCATATTGAGGGCGCCACCGATGGTGTAGGGCCCCTGAGTGATTGATGCAGGACCTTTGAGTACTTCAATGGCAGACATGCGACCGATGGTTGGAAAATAGTAGGCGCTGGGTGCAGAGTAGGGTGCGGGTGAAATCAGTACGTTGTCTTCTAGCAGTGTGATTCGACCGCTACGTTCTGTGGCGACGCCACGTATGCTGATGTTCGGGCGCAGACCATAGCCGTCCTCTATCTGTACTGAGACGCCGGGAATCTGGCGGACAATGCGTTGAATGTCATTGTGACCAAGCTGTTCAATCTGCTCAGCGCTCACATAGTGTGCACTACCGGCGACCTGTTCGCCCCGCAGCGGTTCACCGACGATGGTCATTTCTTCTTCAAAAAAAGTTGCGCCTTCGTTGGCCTGTGTGGTGCTGGCGAACCCAGCGAAGCCCAGGATAAGCGCACAGATGCTGGCGCGCGGCTTTAATATTACGAACTGCATTTTAGATCCCACATAAATTCGGCTTTCAAGCCGCGGTAGAGGGACGCAATATCCTCTAAATGAGAATGATTATCAATACTAAAATGATAGATATTTGCAAATAGGGCTGGGAGGTTAGATAACTGACTTAGCCGAGATTCGCAGCGAAGCACGTGGGTATCGATTTGATTTGTGCATCAGCGCTACTATAAGTTCGTTGCCGGAATCTCAGGAGCTCTAATGCAGCTGGAATCTGATTATTGTCAGGCCACCATGAACTACCTTGGTGGATTGCAGACCGTACCAGTCGAGGTCAGCATTAAGAATGGCCGGCGTGCGCATCATTTATCCTGGCAGGAAAATGGCTTTGAATTGATCAACAGCACAAGCGATGTGCAGAACTGGTCAAACGATGCAGAGGTCGCGCGCGTGTATTACGACGAAATGTCGAATCTCGCCCGCGCACTGACCGGCTGCGATCATGCGCTGGTGGCAGGCCATATCAGCCGCAATCCCGAACAAGCTGATTTGCATGAAGATTACGCGCCCATAGCATTTGTACATTCCGATTTCACCGATAACTATGACGATCTGCTGATCCAGCGCTACCGCCAGAACTCAGCAGAGGCAGACGCTGCGCTGTCTTCATCCGGGATCACTGTCGAGGACATGGCGCGCGCCAAACGCCTGTTGATTCTGCAGTTCTGGCGCAATGTCGGGCCCGAGCAGATGGATTATCCGCTCGCTTTCTGCGATGCGCAGAGTGTGCCTCGCGCCGATATGCATTCGATCCATGTGCCCAATTATGCTGGTGGGGATTTTGCTTTTGATACTTTTGCTGTAACACCACCTGCCTCCCAGGAAACACATGACTGGTACGTGTTTCCCAACATGACCCGCGATGAAGCCGTTGCGTTTCGCACCTTTGACAGCGAAATGGTGGCAGCTGGAACGCCTTACTGGACGCCCCATTCCGCATTTCTGGATGACACTGCCGGTGATAATGCTCCGGCTCGTCGCAGTATAGAAGTGCGCGCGACCTGCCTGTTCTTCTGAAATAATCAATCATTGCCTGATCGCCAGGGTGCATTGGCGACTAACTACCTAATTTCTATTAAAAAACTGTGCTTGAAGCGCTGCAAAACCGGCAGTAGAATGCGCGCCTGCACAAGTCTGCGCCAAGAGCAGGTGTGCATGGAAAATGGTAAAAAGAGTGGCTGATCACGCTGACATCGGAAAGGGGTGCCAGGCGCGTTCGGCCGTTTGCTGTCGCTGGTCGACGGTGTTATGAGCAGCCAGTACTTCAGAGTGTATGGCGGGAGAGACCTATTAAGAAAGGAATGAAGCGAGCCGAGCGTTCGTTACTCAACGAAGAAATTCGTTCAAGCAACGTACGTCTGGTCGCCGCAGACGGATCTCAACGAGGCGTGGTATCACGCGAGGAAGCGCTGGCAGAGGCACGCGCGAGTGGTCTGGATCTGGTGCTGGTAGCATCTGAGGCCGAGCCACCAGTCTGCAAGGTGATGGATTATGGGAAGCATCTGTTTGAGCTGAAAAAGACCAAAGCAGCGCAACGTAAAAAACAGAAGCAGATCCAGGTCAAAGAAATTAAATTTCGACCCGGAACGGAAGAAGGCGATTATCAGGTGAAACTACGCAACCTGAGACGCTTTTTAGAAGAGGGTGATAAAGCCAAGATTTCATTGAGGTTTCGTGGGCGTGAAGTTGTTCACCCCGAAATCGGAATGGAATTGATGAAGCGCATTGCTGGAGATCTCGATGATTTAGGTCAGGTTGAATCTGAACCTAAATTTGAAGGCCGGCAGGTGATCATGGTTTTGCAACCCAGAAAGAATAAGAAGAGCTGACGGCTAACGCCCGCAAGTTTTCACTAGCTTTCGTACCGGATCGTGCCCTAAGCCGCTTTTAAAAAGCGGTTTTAACAATTGCGTGGAGAAAGAGGCCAATGCCAAAACTTAAAACCAATCGTGGTGCAGCGAAGCGTTTTCGTAAAACGTCCAGCGGCTACAAGCACAAGCAAGCGAACAAGAATCACATCTTGACGAAAAAAAGTACCAAGCGTAAGCGTCAGCTCAGAGGACTCACCGGAGTTGCTGCTGCAGACGTGCCAGGGTTGCGTCAACTGATTCCCACCAAAGCTCGATAGGAGTAAACCATGCCGAGAATAAAACGTGGCGTGGCTTCAAGAGCACGTCGTAAAAAGATTTTAAAAGCCGCCCGTGGTTATTACGGTGCGCGCAGTCGTACATTTAAGGTCGCCAAGCAGGCGGTTATTCGCGCAGGCCAATATGCCTATCGTGACCGTCGCCAGCGTAAGCGCCAGTTTCGCCAGCTCTGGATTGTGCGTATTAACGCAGCAGCCCGTGAACACGGCCTGTCTTACAGCCGGTTTATAGCCGGTCTCAAAGAAGCTGGTGTAGAAGTTGACCGTAAAGTGCTGGCCGATATTGCCATGCACGAAAAAGAGGCTTTTGCCGCGCTTGCTGAGCGCGCCAAATCCGCACAAAGCGCAGCCGCAGCATAGCGGCAGCACACTGCCTAGCAGCAACACACAGTTTCTCAGGAGACCTTAATCAGGAATCCTTGCCGAAATGCTGTGCGTGCAATGAAGGGAAGGACTCAGGTTCTTCCTTTTTTTTTGGCGACTTTTTTAACGAAGAAGTATCGGTAGACGTTAACGACTTGGACACATGATGGATACACAGGAAATACTGGCCAGAGCCCTGCAGGCCGCAGAGGCCGCTGAAGATCTGCGCGCCTTGGATGAAGTACGCGTTGCCTATCTCGGTAAAAAAGGCGAATTGACCGGCTTGTTGAAAGGTCTGGGCAAACTCGACGCATCGGAGCGTCCAGCTGCCGGGGCCAAAATCAATGAAGCCAAAGAAGCCCTCCAGGCGACCCTGGATCTGCGCAAAAACAATCTGGAGCAGGCTCAGCTGGCGCAGTCACTGGCTCAGGAATCCGTAGATATCAGCCTGCCGGGTCGCCACCCGGATCAAGGTGGCTTGCACCCTGTTACCCAGGCGATGTATCGCATCGAAGAAATATTTGTGGGTGCTGGCTACTCGGTAGTGACCGGGCCAGAGGTCGAAAACGACTATTACAATTTTGAAGCACTGAACATTCCTGCCCACCATCCTGCCAGAGCCATGCACGACACATTCTATTTTGGTGACGGCCAGTTGCTGCGTACGCATACCTCGCCCAGTCAGGTGCACACTATGGAAAATCAGACGCCACCAATACGGGTGATCTGCCCGGGTCGCGTCTATCGGCGTGATTCTGATTTAACGCACAGCCCCATGTTTCATCAGGTAGAAGGGCTGGTAGTGGACAAAGACATCAGTTTTGCTGACCTTAAAGGCACCGTTACTGATTTCATCCGTAAGTTTTTTGAAAAAGATCTGGCGGTTCGTTTCCGACCCTCTTATTTCCCCTTTACTGAGCCGTCTGCAGAGGTGGATGTGCAGTGTGTGCACTGTATGGGCGACGGCTGTCGTGTGTGCAGCCACACGGGCTGGCTCGAGGTCATGGGTTGCGGTCTGGTGCATCCGAATGTGCTGGAAATGTCCGGTATAGATTCAGAAGTGTATTCCGGCTTTGCTTTTGGTTTTGGTGGTGATCGCTTAGCAATGTTGTTGTATGAGGTGGACGATCTGCGTCTGTTTTTTGAAAACGACGTGCGTTTTCTACGTCAATTCAACTAGTCGGAGAAGGATATGAAATTCAGTGAGGCATGGTTGCGCGAATGGGTTAATCCCGATCTTGCTCGTGAAGACTTATTGCAGCAACTCACCATGGCCGGTCTGGAAGTGGACGGTGTTGAGCCCGTGGCGGAGACGTTTTCTGGTGTGGTTGTGGGCTTAGTAGAAAGCTGCGAAAAACACCCGGATGCGGACAAGCTTTCTTTGTGCAGCGTTTTTGATGGCAAGGAGCGCCACCAGGTTATTTGTGGTGCGCCTAACGTACGTAAGGGTCTGGTGACGGCTTACGCAAAAGTGGGCGCGGTCCTGCCCGACAATTTCAAAATCAAAAAGGCAAAGCTGCGCGGCGTTGAGTCGTTTGGCATGTTGTGTAGCGCCGCTGAACTCGGGCTGGGTGATGATCATGATGGCATTCTGGAACTGCCCGAAGCGCTTTCCGTCGGCGCTGATTTCTTTACCGCTTACGCGCTGGACGACGTCACGGTTGATGTTGATCTGACACCTAACCGCGGTGATTGCTTGAGTTTACGAGGTTTGGCCCGGGAAGTCGGTGTGCTTAACAACCTGACGGTCGCTTACCCGCAGGTAGACGCTGTCGCAGCGACTCACAATGAAACCTTCACGGTTGAGCTGGCCAATCCCGAGGGTTGCCCACGCTACCTGGGTCGTGTGATCAAAGGTATCGATCTGACAAAACCCACGCCGGCCTGGATGCGCGAGCGTCTGCGACGATGTGGTTTGCGCAGTATTGACCCTGCCGTTGACGTGACCAACTATGTGCTGATTGAGCTCGGCCAGCCCATGCATGCGTTCGACCTGAACCAGATCTCCGATGGCATTGTTGTCCGCAATGCGGTGGCAGGCGACAATCTGACGTTGTTGGATGGCCAGGATGTGGATCTTGATGAGCAGACCCTGTTGATCACGGACGCCAATGGCCCGGTTGCTATCGCGGGCGTCATGGGCGGTGAACGCAGCGGTGTGCAGACAAACACCGAAGATCTGTTTCTTGAGTGTGCCTTTTTCAGCCCGCTGGCCATTGCAGGCACTGCGCGACGCTATGGTTTGCATACCGATGCCTCCCATCGTTATGAACGTGGTGTGGACTATGAACTGCAGGCTGTGGCGATGGAGCGCGCTACGCAGTTGCTGATTGATATTGTCGGTGGTGAGCCCGGTCCGGTGACGGAAGTGGTGGCCAGTGAACAGCTGCCCAGTGCGCAGCCCGTGACCTTGCGTCAGCGCCGTTTGCAGCAGCTACTGGGCACCGCAGTTGAGGCTCAGCAGGTGGATGACGCCTTTGCGCGGTTAGATTTCAAAGTCATCGAGCGCAGCGACAAAGATGGCGATATAAGCTGGACCATTGTGCCGCCCAGCCATCGTTTTGATATCGCCATAGAAGCCGACCTTGTAGAAGAGATCTGCAGGATCTTCGGCTACAACAACATCCCCAGTAAGAACCCGACTGCGGCGCTCGAATTGCGTTCTATTGATATAGAGCAGAACTCAGAGGCCGCGCTGAAGCGCCACCTGGCAGGCCTGGGGTTACAGGAGGTGATCACCTACACCTTTATAGACCCAGCCTTGCAGGACCTGCTTGACCCGCAGGTTGCCCCGCTTGCATTGGCAAACCCCATGTCTTCGGAACAGTCTGTTATGCGTACCAACATGCTGCCAGGCCTCGTGGATGCCGCGCAGAACAACAAGGCACGACAGCAGGATCAGGTGCGGATATTCGAAGTTGGCCAGACCTTTTTGCCAGATTCCCAGGGGCTTAAGCAGCGCATGATGGTGGCTGGTCTGTTATGGGGACGACGCCAGGCGCAAAACTGGCATGCGGGCAGTGACAATGTCGATTTCTATGACCTCAAAGGTCTGGTAGATGATCTCTGCAACTGGGCGGGATTGTCTAATGTGCAGGTTGAACGGGCGGATGACATGGTGCTGCATCCAGGGCAGAGCGCGAATCTGCTGGTTAATGGGCAACCCATCGGTCGCTTCGGGCGTTTGCATCCCGAAGTTGAAAACCGCCTGGAGCTGAGCGGCGTGTTTGTCTTTGAGCTGGATGCACAGAGTATCCTGTCGCGGCCACGGCGGGTGTTTACCGGCTTATCGCGTTATCCCAGCGTGCGACGGGATTTTGCTGTGGTGGTCGATAAGGCGGTTACCGCCGCAGAGGTGGAAGCAGTGGTGCGTGAAGCGCTCGGTGAGATCCTGGTTGAGTTCAGGTTATTTGATGTCTATGAAGGCAAAGGCATTGATTTAAATGAAAAAAGTCTCGCGATAGGCTTGACCTTGCAGAGCCAAGACGCCACCCTTAACGAGGAAGACATAGGACACTACGCCCAAGCCGCCGTGAGCGCACTGGAGTCTGCCGTTAAGGCAAGATTAAGGTAGCAACGCTAACCTGGCTGACACTAAAGTCGGCAACAATAAAATAGGTAGCGATCCGGTGAATACAGAGCTTGCGGCCCATTGGTCAAGGGAGGCAACTGTGAGTGCGCTGACCAAAGCGAAAATGGCTGACCAGCTGTTTGAGGAACTGGGCCTCAACAAACGGGAAGCGAAAGAAATTGTTGAGTTATTTTTTGACGAAATTCGTGACTCTTTAGAGCACAATACACAGGTGAAGTTATCAGGCTTTGGTAATTTCGATTTGCGTGAAAAAGGTGAACGACCCGGTCGTAATCCTAAAACCGGTGAAGAGATACCGATAACGGCGCGCCGGGTGGTGACTTTTCGCCCGGGTCAGAAATTAAAAGCCAGAGTCGAAGCCTACGCAGGGGAACCCTCAGGCGAGGATGCTTCAGGTGGCGAAAGTGAGATGGACACGGATTTAAATGCTTGAACCGAGTAACAACAACGAATTACCCCCCATCCCGGGTAAACGCTATTTCACCATTGGCGAAGTCAGTACGCTGTGTGAAGTAAAACCGCACGTATTGCGCTACTGGGAGCAGGAGTTTCCCTCGCTGAACCCGGTGAAACGTCGCGGCAATCGCCGTTACTATCAGCGTCAGGATGTGATTGTTATCCGCCAGATTCGCGCGCTGCTTTACGATCAGGGCTTTACCATTGGTGGCGCACGCCAGCGTCTAACCAGCGAAGAAGCTAAAGAAGATACGACACAGTTCAAGCTTCTGGTCCGCCAGATGATTGTAGAATTGGAAGACGTTCTTCGCGTTCTGAAAGCGTAACCATCCAAGACTCCCAGAGGGTCAAACTTTGAAAAAGCCCTGCCAAGCCCTTTCAATCTTTATTCTAATGATCCTGCTGACACCTTTGGTGTCGGCGGCAGACTATCGTGGTCTGTATCAATACGATGCAAAAATGGCCTGGCTGAAAGCGGGAGAGCTGTCGCTGGAAATGTTCCGCAGTGGCACCAGTTACGAAATGCTGGGGGAGTTTCAGACTTCACGCGCCATGAGTAACTATTACACCTGGAATGGCGTGTTTGCCGCATCTGGGCGCTGGGAAGGCTCAGGACCGGTCACTCGCGCCTATATGTCCAGAACTACCAGCAAAGATGATGATCTGAAGATTGTGCTGAACTACGAAAACTCAGCTCGACTGCTGGACGGTCCGGACAATAGTTTTGAAGACATCAAAAAACCGTCTGGCGTTGATCTTATATCTGCACTGTTTTTTACGCCGAGTTGTTTCCAGGGAGGAGAGGTGCACGATGGGGAAGACACTTATCAACTGGCCCTGCGCACCCAGAAAACAGTAGATTTGAGTGGTGATGACGCATACTACCAGGGCCCAGTTACTAACTGTGATTACAATATTCGAGATCACAAAGATCGCAAACGCCGCGTTGTGGTGTCGCTGGCTGAAGTAGGGGACTCGATTATGGCTGTGCAGGTCAGAGCAAAAATACCGGTCCTGCCTGACGCCGTATTCAGGTTGCGTATGCCTGCTACTAACGCTGGTGTTGCAGCGCGTGTTGTTGCGGCTGGGATGCGGTGACGCCAAAACGCGTTTTTGGGCTCGTATTACTCATCTTGCTGCAATATGGCTGTGGTGATACTCAAAAGGCGTGTGACAGGAACGTGGTCCTGATGGGCTACTGGCCGCCAACCAACAACATGCTGCGTCAATGGAGTACTAACCCAGAACAAAACCCTGGCGGCTGGCAGGGCCAGAACTGGCGCGGTCTGGGTTACAACGTCTATGCCTTTTTCCCAGAATTTCCGCCCGATGATGACCCTACTAACGATAGCATTGGTTCGCCTGGCTCTGTTGGAAGTCCTGACTTTGATCTGCAGGTTGACTATCAGGCGACCTCGGAGGATTTCTGGCGCATTGTGGATGAGTATCAACCACAGATACTGATCACCAACAGCCGCGGTGGTTCTATCGGGTGGGAGATTGAAGCCTATGAAGGACGCGCTGAAACAGTAACATCGCCTGAGCTTGACTGGCGAAGCGATGAATACGGAGATGTGCACCTGCCGACTCAAGCATCAATTGATGCCCGCTCCTGGCAGGCTATCTCAACCTATCGCGGTAACAACCTGTTGACGTCAAAGCTGCCGATGTCTCAGATTGTAACTGCGACAAAAGCGCTCAACTTAACCGAGGTCGCCATAGATGAGGCTACCAGTGGCTCCTATCTATCGGGCTTTCTGGGTTTGCATGGGCTTTTTTATAACAATACCCATGCTCATAATGTCGCAGCGGGGCACATCCATGTGGGCACGGCTGTGTCGACAGATGCGGCAACAGCGTTGATGGAAACAACACTGGAAACTGTGTTGTTAAACAACTTACCGGAAAACAGCACTTGTCCTTGACTCTTTTATCCCGGTAGATCCACACACGGGGCATGGGTTGAAGCGCTCTCGCTTGAGGACGTCAGGCACAGAGCGGTTGTTATAAGAAAACTTCGAGCATCTGTGGATCGCTGAATATGCTGTTTCCGACGTTGTCATAAGCCTCGATCAAGAAAGTGTATGTCCCGGCTTGATCTGGAATGAAGTATTGGAAATTATCGCTAGTTTCGAGTTGAGTGAGTTGCGCGCTATTTTCGAACCAAATCAGCAATCGATATCGATGTGCTTGCACATCATTCCATGATGCATTGACAACGCCTGCAAGCAGTTCTGTTTGCAGATCTGGCTTTATCATTTCCGAGGCTCTTGGAGCTTCGGCCGATGGCTCGGGTTCCGGAACGGGTTCAGGCTCAGGTACCGGTTCGGGCGCGGGCTGTGGTTCAGGCTCGGGCTCTGGTGCAGGCGCAGGCTCAGGGGTAGGTTCTGGCTCTGGTGCTGGTTCAGGCTCAGGTACCGGTTCGGGCGCGGGCTGTGGTTCAGGCTCAGGTTGAGGCGCGGGTACCGGCTCGGGTTCAGGCTCGGGTGCGGGCTGCGGCTCTGGTTCAGGGGTATTAAGAATAGCAACATCCACGGTTACACCATTCGCTCCGCCTAAACCAAAACACGTCAATTTAAATAGGGTGCGCTCATTCAATTGCGACGTTGTATACGTGCCCTGCAGGTCCTGCTCGCCACTCCAACCTTCAGTTGCCAGACACTGATCCGCATTGCTGGTCGCCCAGCTTAACGTTGTGCCTGAATTTAGCTCAACAATACCCGGGTCAGCGTTGAAAGATATAAATGGTGGAGATGTAGCAGGCTGACTTTGCTGGCGGGCATTTATCTGATCAACCGCGCTGGCATCCGCCAAGGCGACGCGCTCTGGTAAATCAACCAACATATTCTGGTTAGATGTGCTGAAAACAGACTGCACAAGCTCACGCACATTGGCTGGTGAAGCTTCAGCCAATGGCGTCATCAATTCAGACAGCGCAGGGTCGTCATAAACGCCTTGCAGAACAGCAAGACTGCCTAAAGTCTTGGTAATACCAGATGCGTTGAGTGGCACCTGATTTACATCGGCACTAGTAGCCTCTGGCATGATTGTGCGAATTGCTGCATTCATGGCATTGGTGGCATCTTGACTGTCGACCTCCAACCGGCCTGCCAGAACCTCTAATCGCACGCCAGCCTCAACTGCCTTGGCGACTGCCAACACACGTTCGTCATCCAGGGTGGTGGGTTGATTGGCGCGCCCGTCCATGGCGCCATCAGCAAGGTCACAGGCCAGAACCGCTACGATGTCGTTAATATTAACACCTGGCAGCGCTGCATCTGTACGGCGTATCCATTCGCCCAGCGCTTCGTTTGCCAACACGGTTGTAGCGACGTTACTCGGATCGACAACGTCCTTCATCGGATCGCCCAATACATCGGCGTCCAAGCCAATGTTAAGATCTCGGCCCACAGCCTGCCAGAGACTGATCAAACGATTATCGCTGGTGTTTCCTGCGCATTGTCCTGCTTTCACAACCAGCGTCGTCAATGGTGAAACGTTCACTGTCTGCTCAACGGCTTGATTGACTATGGCTACCATTTGAAAATCAGCAGGTCGGCCTGTGACAAGATCTGTACCACCCACTACACTAATCGTAGCTGGCAATTTGGTGCCTGCTGGAACAGACAGGTTGTAATTTGCCCGGTCATCACTCATCTGTTGGGCGACCAGACTGCCGTCCGCATCCAGTAACGTGACCTCGCCAGCTACAATTGGGCCGTCGCCAATGCTGCCGCTGATGTCGAAGGAATTGAACCAATTGTCGGAGGAACCTTCCTCGCTGCCTGAAGAACAGGCAATCACCGAAAGGCTGGTCAGAAGCAATAAAAATCGCTTTACGTCTCTCATATGTCTCTCTTTCTTTCATTTGTCGATGGCCTCTCTCAGGGGCCACAAGACATGAAAATCGTTTGCGTGACCTGCTCTCTTCAGATCAAGCGAGGCATTGAGTCTAGAGACGCCGGGCTACTTAGCCTGTGACGTTCAACACGCGTTTGTAAGAAAGTTGCAGATTTGTGCGCTGCTGTGCATTTAACGCGCAATGAGATTCGCAGAGTGATTGCGCGAGGGCGCGAAGCACCATACTTCGATTGCTTTAAAGGCTGACTTTCAAAGGATAATCTGCAAGCTGTAGCAAGTGAGTTGGTGTTTAAACTACAATTGTCAGCAGTTGCAGCGCATAGATTGGAAACGCTCAATTGAGGATGTCAGGCACAGAGTGGTTGTTATAAAAAAACTTTTAGCATCTGTGGATCGCTGAATATGCTGTTTCCGACGTTGTCATAAGCCTCGATCAAGAAAGTGTATGTCCCGGCTTGATCTGGAATGAAGTAGTGGAAATTATCGCTAGTTTCGAGTTGAGTGAGTTGCGCTCTATTTTCGAACCAAATCAGCAATCGATATCGATGTGCTTGCACATCATTCCATGATGCATTGACAACGCCTGCAAGCAGTTCTGTTTGCAGATCTGGCTTTATCATTTCCGAGGCTCTTGGAGCTTCGGCCGATGGCTCAGGTTCCGGAAC